TATATCTCCTCGTCACATATCTTCCAAATAGATACTTAAAATAACAAGAAAATGCCCTCGGCTTGGAATTCTCGGAAGAGTTTACCATAGGAACATCTGGACTTGTCGGAAGCCCGTCATTCCACAGAGGATCCGTGTTTACAAGTAGCGATAACCTTTAACATCCTTGTACATACATAAGCATATATATGTAAAAACGCTTACTTTACTCTACCGACACGCACTCCATTTCCATATTATATCCTCCAAGATCTCAACGGGGTTTGCAGTTTCCAAGGTCGAGGCTGCAGGCTTGATAAGTTCACGGTTTAGGGATATGGCGTGTTATGGCTGAAGTATGTAGGGTTCGAGTTGGAGGTTCAGGTTTTTTTTGCGTGGAAGGCAGTGCGTTGCTTGCTGTTACCTAAGGCGATATCTACAGCTGGGAGCCCTGCATGGCATCTCGCATACTGACACGCTCTTGCCTGGTTTAGGATCTTGGCGCTTAGCGAGAGGCTTAAACTTTACATCGTAGATCCTACAACTTGAACCCTGAGCCTGAGAAAAAAGCCGCCGCATAATAAGGTACCCTTGAGTTTGTAACGAGCTCCAAGCCAAGGTCATGCTCCTCGTTTGTTAGTCTAGGTCGAATGGGGAAGTCTCGATGAATCATGCATCCGAAACCCGAACCGTGTATCCTCGAATCCAAACTCGCCCAAAACCCTCGGAATCAAACATCTCCCCCGAAGTCCGCGCATCCTCTCAAGGAGCTGGGTATCGGCTTCCAGATCGAGCACATCATCGATTGAGGGCCGATTGCTTCAAGGGTTTGGGTTTAGGGCTTAGCCCCGGTACCCTGGAGTTCTAATCAAAAAACTTAAAGGGAGTTTTCGGATCTGCAGTTGGCAGGTCGAGTCCAAGATTTGTAAGGAAGATGCTCACATGTAACATACAAGCCTGAATAATTACCGACACTGTTCCTTAGGGTTCCTGATTATAGGTCCAATATCCTGCGCAGCGCAAAGACTCAGCCGACGCCGTGAAAGGTCAAAATAAACCAGGGCAGCTTGACATCCTTAGGCTGTGTAGTAGAAGTAGAAGTAGAGGTAGAAATACAAGTAGTAGAAGTAGAAAAAGAAGAAGTAGTAGTAGTAGGAGTGGGAGTGGGAGTAGGGGTAGGAGTAGGAGTAGTCGTCGTCGTAGTGGTTGTTGTAGTTAGTATTATTACTACTATTATTATTGTTACTACTATCACAATTTTTCTTCTTCTGATTATTGGTGGCAGTACTACTTCCCGTAACCTAAAACCCGAAAGCCCATGGGATCAAGACACTAAACCCTAAACCCTAAGCCCTAAACCCTAAACCCCTGATCACTGAAAGAACCCTTGTAGACCCCTTGAACAAGCCCTTAAAGATCCCTTTAAAGGAACCCTACACCATAACCCCTATAGTACCCTTGTAGACCCCTTTAAGAAACCCTTATAGATCCCTTTAAGAGAAACCTAAACCCTACACCCCTGAACCCTTATAGTATCCTTGTAAACTCCTCTAAGAAACCCTTATAAATCCCTTTCAAGGAAGCCTAAACCCTAAGCCCTAAACCTTAAGCCCTAAACCCTAAGCCTGAAAACCCTAAGCCCTAAGCCCTACACCCTAAACCCCTGAACCCTTATAGTACCCTTGTACACCCCTTTAAGAAACCCTAAACCCTAAACCCTAAGCCCTAAACCCGAAGCCCAAAGCCCCAAACCCTAAACCACTGAACCCTACATCGAGGCTGCTGCTGAGCCCCTCGCCGGTCAGGCTTGGACAGTTTGCCAGCTCACAGCGTCGAGGCAAGGTCTGGGGTCCATAAGGGTTCCTTTAAAGGGATCTATAAGGGTTCTGTAAAGGGTTCCTTATCTGTTTTCTCTATATAGTTCCTTAAGACGGCAGGTCTTTTCGGCTACAGGTGGGGCCTGGGGTTTAGTAGGGTTTAGGGTTTCGAGTTTAGGGTTCAGGGTTCAAGGTTTAGGGTTTAGAGTTCAAGTGTTAGGGTTTAGAGTTCACGGGTTAGGGTTAGAGTTTAGGGTTTTCGTTCAGAGTGTTCGTAGCTTGTGTCTCTGCGAACAATTGATGGTGCAAGAAAGATGCATGTCCTGATTTGAGGCGCTGAACACAAAAGCCCGAAGCCCCAAATTTCCAAAGCTCCCAACCCGGCGTCCCTCCGCTGCCCTCGAGCCTTAAACCCTAAACCTCGAAGGGCCTGGATTTAGGGTCGAGCTTGTAGGGTTATGAGTACCTTAAGCCCACGTAACCTACCTTTTTAAGGACTCATATAAAGAAATCATATTAGGAAACCCTAAAAAGGTAGATTCCTTAGGGCCCAGGTAGAGTAACTTTACTTAGACAACTCTTGTAACCTCAATCATTGGCCTTGATTCAAGGCTGTTGTAATGTCAATCAAGGTACATAAAGCCTTACTTACGAAGTCTCATGATCCTCCAAGAACAGAGCCCTCTGAACTTGAGAAGCCTGATCCTAAACTTGTCAAGACGGCTACAATCCGGAGGTGTAGGGCTTCGGTGTTAGGGTGCAAAGATCCTTGTGCGATGTATTCGGGCTTATGTGGTTGTATAATCATGAAGTGGGGGGGGGGGGCCTCGGGGGGGGGGTGCCTTTGCTTATCCTTAGCTTATCATGTTGGGGGAGGATAAGTGATGGATAAGCTTAGGATAAGCTAAGGATAAGCAGAGAAATGGATAAGTATAGGATAAGGAATTCGGGGGTGTTGTTGCAAGAGGGCAGGGTAGGAGCAGGCTAGGGCTGAGGGCCAGCAGAAGCGGTGTGTCAGATCGTGTTGAGATGCAAGCATCCGAAGCTTATAAGAGTTTATATCCTCCCACGGGTCAACATATGGCTCTTTTTGAATGTCCCTGTCTTGTCCGTCCCACAGCATTTGTTTTTGATGATGTCTTCCATGCTACTTACCGAGAACCCGACACGCGAAGCCGTATGCCCTAAACCCTAAACCCCCAACCCTAAACCCTGAACGCGGAACCCCTCAGCCAGGAGCCCAAAACCCTTTAGATCCCTTAAAGGAGCCCTTTGAGATACCTCTAAACCCTAAACCCCCTTTTTTTCAGTTGTAGGAACCTTGAAAGATACCTCTCAACCCTAAACCGCACCAGGAGAGCTCTTCCCAAAATGGGCAGTGGCTCAGACTGCGATCCCACGGTGACGGTGGGAAGAGAGCTGAACTCGCTTAGAGTGCAGTTCCTGGCGTTTCGGTTTACAGTTTAGGGTTTCGAATATAGGGTTTAGAATTTAGGCTTTAGGGTTTAGAATTTAGGGTTTAGGATTCAGGGTTTTGGTTCAGGGGTTTAGGTTTTTGGTTTGGGGTTTAGGGTTTGTTGGGTTCTGGGTTTGAAGTGGCAACAGTAGCTCCAAGCCGTAACATAGAGGTCTGAAGAAGTAGCAGTAAGGGTTTTACTCTCGGTCCAGTCACCCCTAAACCCTAAATCCTAAATTCTAAACCCTAAAACCTAAACCTTAAAGTCTAAACCCTAAACCCTAAATCCTAAGCCTCTCTAAACCCTTAACCCCTAAACTCCACTCCACTCCACTGCATTTCGGTCCAAAAGTTCCGGCGCCAACTAAGACATGCAAGCCCAAGAATGAGACTCACCGCGAGCCCCACCCTAAATCCTCTATGGAGTTCCTTAAAGGGAACTATGGGGTTTAGGCTTAAACGGTTTAGGGTTTAGGGTCTACTTAGAGGATCATGGGACTTAGTAAGCAGGTTATATTTGGGGTTATACGTCCCCTACTAATTATAACCTACTTATAACCTTACTTACTAAGTTCCATGAGCCTTCAAGTAGACCCTAAACCCTAAACCCCATAGATCCCTTTTAAGGAGCCCTAAAGATCCCTTTAAGGAGCCCTTTAAGAACCCTGGTTCCAGTCAGATCTAGGGTCTATGCTGAGATCGGTCTGCCGTCTTCTGAAAGTTTCCGGTCCTGCTGAAACGAGCGGGGCTGGTTCGCCAGCAGCTGAGGGATGTCTTGGATAGGGTCTTAAGGTTGAACCGTAAGACCCTGAACCCTAAACCTTAAAGGCCCTAAACCGACGTGAAGCGGTCGGCGGTTGAACGTATATTTGGGAAGGTTATGTGTGTGTGTGTGTTCTGATGTATTGCTTTGCTTCGTTGCGGCGGCCCTACAACAGTAATGTCGAAGCCGGAATCTAGACCTACATTGTTCCTGAGGGTTTCGAGAGGTATAGTACCTCAAAACTTCAGCCTACTTATTCAGGCCCCGATGTCATGCTGTTACAGTAGCCAAGACACTGAGACGCCCCTTGATGCAGCCAGACACCTGTGACAGCTGGTTTTGGCGCGATGCGGCAAACACGGTGTGGCCATGTTTTTGGGGTTTCTTCGAGTCTCAAGCGTATGTGGCGGGCTTAGACTCCAGAGCTGGGGCTGTCGGATTTAGGTTGTGGGTGTTTGGTTTCAGGCTTTTGTTGGGGTTTTGGGTTTTTAAGACACTAAACCCTAAACCCTAAACCTTAGATCCTAAACCCTGAACCCCTAAACCCTGAACCCTATGTGGTGCTTTTCGGGGTTTAGGGTTTATTGTCCCTAAACTCCCCCAGAACCACACAAGACCTGAACCCAAGCAACCCTACACCCTAAACCCTCTAGAACCCCTACGGTTGATGCTACAAATCCTGCATTACCCAGAAGAAGGAATATACCATAATTCCCATAGTCTAGGGTCCTTGAGGTAATGCAGGATTTATATCATCAACCGTATGGATCCTTTAGAGGAGCCCCTACTTAAAGGATCATCGGACTTAGTAACTAGGGTTATAATTAGGGTATCTATACTTGTAACCCCAATTAAGGTACTTATAACCTTACTTACTAAGTGCCATGATCCTTTAAGTACCCAAGCCCAAGAGCCCTCAAACCCCGCTCTCGCAGCCGTTAAGCACACCCTCCCCCCCCGCTTCCGAGCCTTCGCGCAGAGAGCCATGGCCCATGTCACGCGCCGAGGCGCTCGACTCGGCCCAGTAGACGTACATAGGGTTGAGAGCGTTTCAGAAAAGGGTGTACTATAGGGGCCTTACTAATTACCAATACTATTTCGGGGGTTCCTTACTGTAATTATAGTGTAATGGGCACCAAAACCCTATTCTAATTATTAAGGCCCCTATATTAGAGGGTCACATCTAAGGTTTGGGGCCCCAGTTTACGTTTTGTTGGTGGGTTTCTATCGGGCGATTGCAGGGGTGTATGGCCTCCCCCAAACAATGAACGGGAGCGTCTCGGGCGTAGAGTTTCGGATTGGGGTTTGGGGCTTAAGGCTTCTGCATTTTCGGCGTTAGTGTTTGGAGTGTAGGGATCTGTTTCGAGGTTTTAGTATTTGTGACTTCTGCAATCACTTCCTTGCCACCACTTCCCAGCCTGCTTGCTAAATCGAAACGGCCTTTAAACCATCAGAAGATTCTGAACGCTCGGAGGCATTGTTAAGTTAGCAGCGAGCCCAGCAAGCCATCCCTAATCCTGAAATCAAAAGCTGCCGTTCAGCGCCCGCCGAAGTATCCCAAACCTCCTTCTGCGGTTTACGTTGAGGGGTTTGGGGCTAGACTGAATACCGCATAAACTACTCCCCATAGTCGACATGACTTGTATGTCAGGGTTGTATATAGACTTCCTAAGTCGAAAGAATCTAGGAGGGGTAGACCTCCAAATACAGATAGGCACCTGAAGTTGTAACTTGTAGAATTTTACATGCCCCGAAAGACCCATTTCCGAAATCTTCGCAACACCTGACGCAGCCCCTGAAACACCAGTGCCAGCAATCTTGTACGGAACCCGAAATCGTAAACCCTAAGCCCCAAACCAAAAACCGTAAATCCTAGGCCCTAAACCCTAAACCCTAAACCTAAACTTTTGGCTCAAGCCGCGGGCCCGAGACCTTTTACAGTTTCCCCTAGCGTGTCCCTCCTGCCTCGCTCCGCTGATACTAGGGGGGCGGCCAGTCCTTCGGTACCTTCTACCTGCTTCTGGAGTGTGTCTACGTGAAGGGAAAATAAGGCGGCCAGTTGCTCGTCGCCTTCTACGTGATTCTGTGGGGTGTCTACGTGAAACAGGCGGCCAGTCGCTCGTTGTCTTTTACCTGCTTCTGACGGGTGTCTTTGTTAAGTGGCGGCCAGTCGCCCGGTGTCTTCTACTCGATCCTGCAAGGTGTCTTTGCTAAGTGGCGGCCAGTCGCTCGGTGTCTTCTACGTGATTCTGGAGAAGGGGGTGACTTTGAGGAAAACAGCAGCCAGTTTCAATCACTCATCGGGGCGAACTGGGAACATTGTGTGGCTGTGAAAAAGATGGACGTGTTTGCCGATCCATTGACTCAACCAATCCCGGTGGATGAAGATGAAGAGCTGGGCGACGCTGGTACCCACTCGCCAACCGAGATAGCAGACGAGGAAGATGACGACAATAACAGGACGGATGCAGAGATGGCCGTTGACGGGAAGCATGATGGTGAAGTCGTTGCACGTGAACTGCCGTCAGGAGCCTCAGGAAGCACTCGGAAAAGGGGGCGTGATGCAGCTCGCAAAGCCTTTACACAAGTTAAAGAGCAGGAACATGATGATGATGTGGAGAGTCCCAGTAAGAGGGCGTTGTATGCTGAACCGGGGCTTGGAGATGATAATCCTTTGACAGGCAGGGCAATGCAAGCTCTTCTCGAAGCCCACCTTGGGAAACTTCAGGCTTCGCTTGAGCATTCCTTTGGCGATAGAGTGAGCAAAGTTGAAAAGCAGCAGGCTGATGCACGTGGAGAACATCAATCGCTCAAAGGTCGTGTCCGGGCAGTTGAGAAACAGTCTGTCGTCACGAAAACAGAAGCAGAAGTTCAGTCTCGCAAGCTTGAGGAGGTTACGAACGACCTTCGCCAGCTACGCACGGAATTGAAAGAGGGCAAGGTTGATGGCATTCCCCTCCCCTCCGCTTCAGCATCCGCTGCTCCTGTGCCAGGACCTACGTCGTCAGATCCATGGGCACAGTACCTTCAGAGACAGCAGCACTCTAAGGACCACACCTCCACCTATGCCAACACGAAGGCGAACCTTGATGAAGGCCTCTCTGAAGATGAACGAAGGACCCTAGTGATCGGAGGTTGGGCACAAGACACCAGGAAGTGCGTGATTGAAGAAGAGAGTAAGTCTCTCTTTGAAGAGGGTGGCTTGACGGAGCTGATTGATCAACCGCAGGTCTCAGTCTGGGGGCCGAGAAGGAGTGTGGGGATGCTAAAGTTTGTCTTGAGGGCGGACGAATCTGAACGAGCACTACGCGACCGCATGTGGAGAGTTGTCAAAGGCATCCGAGAGTTGAAGAAAATCTTTCCCAGTACATCCACTCAGGGCGAGCAGAAACCAGCCTGGGGCGCTTTTGTGAAGACTAAGGAAGGGCGCAAGAGATCTCAGCTAGTCAGCCAGATCAGAAGGGTGACGTCTCAAATTGCGATGGAGACCAAGGACGCTAATGGGCAACCGTTGAAGCCGAACGCGGTCAATCCAGAGAGCTTTGACTGTGACTGGAACAACGGGACTATCTGGCACGGACCGTATAAACTAGCGAGCTCCACTCATCGCCGACCAGCAGGGGGTGATTTCATCACGATGCCTGGTGGCTGGGTTGACCTCAACGGCATCATCGCAGTTACTGGAGCGAGTTCGGCTGCCATCAAGGCAGCCCTGGAAAGGGAGCTGTGAAAGGAAGAGGCCGGTTTCACCCAGGGCGACAGCACTTCTCAGCCTAAGGCTCATGATGCTGACTACATTCGGGGTGCAAGATCACGAATGGTCAACGCTGTTTCCTGGAATCTTGGCGGACAACGTGTCCAAACACTGGACGTGATTCTGTCAGATGCTGAATTTGCTATGGTTCAAGAAATTGCACGCGGTCAAGAAGGCTTCGACTTTGAGGAGGGCGACCACTTCTACTGGACAACACATCGAAACCCGGATCAGTATCGAGGAGTAGCAATCGGTATCGCCAATGACCTGCTGAACTGTATCATTGACAAGATTGGCACCTCAAGAGGAATGTGGATTCTTGCAAGGATCAAGGGGCTTGGACGAGCCGTTCTTGGTTCAGTGCATTGTCATACAGGAGCCCCTCATGCAACCTACATGAAAGCTACACGCGAACTGTTTGCGGCGCTTCCTGTCAAATGGCGCGACTATCCTCTCATCTTGGGTGCCGACCTGAACGAACAACTTCAATGGTCTGTTGATCGCAATACTGGACATCTTATTTGTCAGTCTCTCAACCTCAGTGAGTTTGCGAACATTGCTTGTGAACATGGCCTTCAGATACAATGTCCACGTGATGATCAGCTTGGCGACCCGACGCACTTCCCGAGGGATACAACTCGTTTAGGCAGACAAATTGATGCTTGTTGGTGTCGGAATTTTGCTCTCTCCCGTGGCGACATCAGGGCACCCCTTCGACACTGTGTCGGCTCAGATCATGCGCCGGTGTTCTACTCCTTCCCTATTCGTGTCGGCAGAAGCGGAGCTTGGACCAATGACTCCAGAGCCCGCTTCATGACCAAAGAACTCCCTGACAACCTGGAGATCATTGAAGTTGAGGATATCACTGCAATCGCCAAGACCTACACGGCACCTATCAAGAACAACAAGTATGCTGACACTGAGGAGGTCAAGCAGGCCTTTGCTGCAGCCAAAAACACCATGTTAGCCAAGGACTGGAAGGAAGCCCACAAGCTACGAAAGAAGAGTCGTACACAATGGTCCTCCGCTCGCCTTGAGAAGATTGTCCAGGGTGATTGGGGTGAATTTCGCTCCTATAAACGTGACCTTCGCAGACGCAAAGGATGGTGGGGTAAAATGCTTGCTTCGCGCTCCTCAGAAGCTCTCACTCTTGAGGTGTCGAACCATCTTCAGAAGAAACTTGTTGATGATGATCTACAAGATTGGGACGAGGTTTTGCGAGAACAACTTAAGGCCGTGACCAAACCCACAAGGGATGAATGGACACCCTTCGTGATCCAGGACATGCATGAGCAGCTGGCAGGCATGAAGTCTGCCGCAGCTGTAGGACCGGACTTAATTGGGGTTGACCTTCTGCGAACTCTGGCTTATCATGCTATCTACGGCTCCCAACTACTCGAGATCATCAACCACATAGTCTTCACGTGTCAGAGACCGAAAGACTGGGATGTGAGCTACCTTGCCTTACTGGCCAAGAAAACTTTGCCAGAAGGAGCAAAAGATCTGAGACCGATCTGCATCAGCTCAGCCCTGGGCAAACTTGTGAATAGGATGCTGGCGCAGAGAGTAATGCCCACACTCCGCAGAGGGTCAGATTGTTCGTCCTGCGGGAAAGGGCGACAGGTATCGGACCTCATTGGAACAATGAGCCGCCTGCAAGAGATGATCAAGGAATGGGATGCACCACTCCTCATCACTAAGCTGGACGTACAAGGAGCGTTTGATCGGCTCAGTCGTCAGAAGGTCGTGGATTTGATGCTTGCGCGTTCAGCAGGGCAACAAGTTGAGGTTGAAGTGACCTTCCTGCTGGACCAATTGTGTGTCAATCATGTCCATGGTGAAGTTCCCGGTGGTTCAATGATCGATGTGTTTCCCAATGTCGGTATTAAACAAGGCGCGCCTGAGAGCGCAGAGGTTTTTGGGCTCGTCATGGGAATGATCATTGAGGACGTTCGCATCAGCAACAGCTGGAAGTGCCTGGGTCGACCCGTTGATGATCTACATTTGGACGTCATGTACTACCAGGATGACGTGTTCCTCATCGAGACGGATCCAAGGAGGTTGTCCAAGAGGATTGCGCTGCTCCAGGGCGAACTATCCCATGCTGGGTTGAAATTAGCCATGGAGAAGACCACTGTTGTCGCCACGCCTGCCTATAAAGGAGCAATGCACCTGCACATTGATGGCAAGAAGATCATCATTGTCAAAGAAGGTGGGGTGAAAGTGCTAGGGCTCACTTTTCGGTTCAATGGAGGAGTTAGCGACCAAGCTCAAGAACTTCTGGACCGCGCTAGGGCAGCCCTCGCAGAACATTCCGCTCTGCTTCGTGCTCGTGGCTCATGGGGTAAAAAGCTCTATCTGATCAACACACTCATTACATCCACGTGGCGATGGTGTGCAGGCGCAGTGCATTGGAGCCCTGAAAGCCTGTCGCAGGCAAACACACTTCAGTTACACATACTGAGAGTAGCGTTTGGACTGCACCGTCTCAAAGACGAAGATTGGGTGACTTGGAATTCGAGAACACTCAGATTCTTGCGAGCTTACATTCATAAGGAAAACATTGAAAGATGGAGCACCTGTGCCCTTAGGCTGCAATTCACGTTACATGGACATTGGGCACGTAGGGAAGAAGACCTCGGGGCAGGGATTGGAGATGTGCATCTTTGCCTGCCTATGCATGCAGTACAGTGGAGATGTCTCAAATGGTGGCGAAATGAACAACGACTTTCGCGACATGTAGGAATCCGGCATCCTGGTCAATTTTATGCATCTAACACGGAGCGTCAAATCGCAGTTGTTGCTGGTCTTGATTGGCCACTCAGTGCTCTTGACAGGGGTTGCTGGAAACATCTTCTGTCCGCCTACCTCAAAGAATGGGACGTTAGGTGGACGCGAGGCAGACAACTTTCGCTCAGATACTAGAAGCTACATGCTTTCTCCCTCGAGTTGCTGTTGTGATTCGCGCCCACTCGAATGAAGCGCTATCTCATTGCCTGAAAGAGTGGACGTTTGACTGCAGCCGCGGGCTCGAGGACCACTCTTTCCCTCAAGCTTTCCTCTGATGAACAAGTACATCTTTCTCAACACGATGGAACATCTTTGGCGATATTTCTAACTATCCCTCGGCCTGCCCGCATTGTACTTTGAGTTCTTGATTTCTTCCCTCTCACCGCATTCCAACAATCATGGCAGCCCGCGGACGTCTTGTGCTGATGGCGATGCTCCTGGTACTGGGGCGACTTGTTGGGGATGCCTTCCTTCGTGGTGCCGAAGCAGTTCCACATCTATGGTCTTCGGGGAGCTCTTCGTCGGCCTATTGTGAAGACGACTTCAATGAGCACCTGCAGACTTGGACGGAAGGACCAATCCTTGGCTGGCCGACTTGGGGTGACACTTGGTCTCAGCCTGTCCTTCCATCTGGGACCTCGCCGGCAAGCGAAGCGACAGTTGCAGCCACTTCGCCGATGGAGGACTTGGTGCATGAGCCATCCTCTTACGCGATGGAACAATCCTCACCACCCCTCGGAGTACTGGGTCCAGATCCTTCTACCATGCCATACACCACGCTGAGTTCTACCGTGGAGGATGAAATTTTCGTCTATGAGGACTATGTGGACCGCTACCTGAACCGGGTGGACCCGCCGGATGAGCAACGGGATGCTCCAACTCATGAAGAGGATGAAGACGAGTTGAAAAGTGAAGCTGAGGATGATGTGGGTGACCTCCCTTCAATGGCCTGCTCGGACACGGGGTGGATTCGCCGTGGAGGTACATGGAAACGAGGAGTTGACAGATGGCATAATGCTGATGGATCACTTCGGCGACCACCAATGCAATGCTCGACCTGGGCGGTTGACAACACATGGCCGAGGTCGTGGGATGATGTACCTTCGGCGACTTCATCTCAGTCACCAGATACTACCTCCTCCATCATGGTGTCCACTTCGTCATATTTGCAAGCCGCAGTGGATGGTGAGGAGGAAGGTCAAAACTCGAACATGATTTCGGGAACAATGGATCCTGGGACGTCTTCGTCGGAGGGGGCAACTTCCTCGTGGATAAGTTCGTGCCCGGCGACTACAGCCAATCTTTCTTGGTCGTCTTCTTTGAGTTCTTCATCGTCTTCCTCATGGGTGGCCCCTGGAACTTCTTCGACCTCGGCGTCTTCTGCGTGGGCGGAACGGGCTGATGAAGCGGATCAAGCAGGTGGCTCTGCCCAAGCTCCTCTGCCGGTGGGTTTCTATAAGCACGGAGAATGGCAAGGACGCGAACGCACGGCAGCAGAACAGCGTTTTCATCAGGGAGGACAGGGCCCCGCGCGCAGAGCTCGACGAGAGGCTCGCTGTCAACAATGGCTACATGGTCAGTGGCGACCCGCGTGGCTGGAGAAGTATCGCAGGGAAAAGGCTGAAAGAGAAGCAGCTCAACTGTCTTCGGCAAGCACGACAACATCTTCGACAAGCACGACCACATCTTCGACTGTAGGTGATGAGGAGACGAGCATCTTTGACGAGGATGTCAGTTTCATGCAGATGACCGGAGCTGAACGAGCCACCCTTGAGGAACAAGGGATGCCCGAACTTCAGTTGCAGAGACTCGAGGCCCTCTTTGAACGACTGCAACATTGGCAGGAAGAAGATAGAGGGCCTGAGTCCAGATGGAGCCTCCGCTGTGCTCAACGGCGTAACACTGAGCTCTGCGAGCTGCTTGATAGACTGTCGGGCATCCTGGAGAGACGCCTTATGGTCCGTGGTCATTGGCCGGTCACAAGGGTGCCTCACACCAATGTCGAATGTCGCCGCTGGTTTGAGTGGGGGCGACAGTTCACTCAGGTCGTCTTGGAAGTCGTTGAGCACTACATCAACATACCGATGGGACAAGATGACATTGAAGAGCACCTCCGTCCTCATGAAGTGGCAGGTGGGATTCCCTCGGCAGCCAGTATGGGATTCTTCGATCGTTCAGGTGGGGCGACGTCGTCAGATGATCACCCTGTGATCACAATCCCAAGCATGAGACGAAGACGGGACTCATCTTCAGGAAGGTCGGCTTCGCGGACACCTCGCCGACTTGCACGTGAGCAACCCCGTGAGCGCCCTGACGTAGACCAGCATGGATCAGAAAGCAGTGAATCCGGCAGTGTTGGGGCGATCTCAATGAATTCCGAGTTTGCCCTGGATGAAAACGGTCAGATGGTGCAAGTCCCTGTTCAAACTGGGGAGGGACCGTTTGGGCCCCCGCCGCCCGTGCCGGTGAATTTCCCACGACACCTCACAACCATCGGCGGCCTTTGGCTTGAGCCGGGAGAACTTCCGGTCACTCCGTCTTCGCCAGTGACCACCAGGACGACCACGGGAATCGTTGATGAGGGAGACATGACGTTTCTTGTACAACTTCCTGAAGGGGTGCAGTCCACTTCGACTACGTCAACCTCTTCTTCCTTGTCCTCGCCTACCTGGCCTTCAGATCTGGTGCGGGATGCAGTGAATAATGAGTTGTGCCAAAGCAACCAAGCAGATGTAGTAGAAGTTGTGCGACAGCTTCTGGCAAGGCAACGTCGTCTAGCACACCTACAGCGTCTTCTCCGAGAAGCCCTTGAACAGTGCTTGTTCTGGTTCCAGGAGCACCCAAATGCTATCCGACCCAACGCTGCATCACAAGAACAACACATATGGTGGACTATCTCCAGAGAGGCGGGTTTTGGGTCCGGCCAGTCACAGAATCGACCGCATCATTGGATACCAGAGCCCAGCGTTCTTATGCAGCCTGGGCTCCCTTCCAGTCTACAAGCACTAGAAGAAGCTCTCCCGGATGTTCCGCATGATGCTCGAGCTGGCCTTCGTCGCAGAGGTTGGCGTGATCATGTGGCTAACCTCTATGCTGCTGTTGGGAGAAGGGCGCCTGTTGGGAACTGGCCTTCCGAAGCTGACCGACGGCTTTATCTCATACAAGCGGATCCCCATCTTGAAGTACCTGAGCGTGGTCTTCTCGAACAAGGGCCACGGCCAGTGGTCAATCGTCGGCGACTCTACGAACCCCGACCCAGGCCAGTCTTCGTACCACATGATGCGAATCTACTATTGGAGCTCCTCCCGGATCATCGTCCTCCTGACCGTCATCGTCCTTCTGACCCACGACCTGTGAATGGGACTCAGACTATGTCGACGAACACTCGTTCTGGTCGTACTGGTTTGCGTGGTCGGGATCGTGAACGCAGTCGGAGCCGGGACCATGACATGCCTGGCAGTCTCTCCGATGCAGCCATTGCAAGGGAAGCTTCTTCTGGCTCTGGTCGTTACCCTCGCCGTCGACTACCTGGACGTTGGTTTCGTCGTCGCCTTCGTTCTTCTGTTGACGAAGATTGGCCTCCATCTGCTGATGAAGATATTCCTGGACATGCGGTTGATTATGCAGGAGAACCTGACTCTGGACATCAAGCCCATCGTGAAGGAGAACATTGTCTTGGTCTTGATGGAGCAAGTCGTGCTGATCAGCATCTTCCTGAAACTGCACCTGATGAACGTGATGATGCCCATGATGACGACGATGATGAAGAAATTCTTCTTCCTGGTCCACGTCGTCGTTGCTGATTCGCTGTCGGTGTATGGAAAGCATGACGAGTGATGCGGATGTGACATGTTGGCTATGCACGGTGAGCAGTGAGTGGCTAGTTTGTAGTGTGCACCCAATAGGGTGAACTGAGAGTCTGCTCATGCGGAGTCAAAGTTCAACACACTTTTAAAAAAAAAAAACCTAAACTTGAAATAAATCCCAAATCCGAAGCCCTAAACCCTAAACCCTAGGCCCTAAACCCAACCCCATCTCTCTCCACAGCCGACGAGGCAAGGCGTCCTTGTTCCGTCGAAACACGGAAACCGGGCACTACTTGGCGCAGATGGCAGAAGGGAGCAGGTGGGGTCTTTAGGTGTAGGCTTTAGGCAGGAGCCATTATAAAACCCCCGAGCCTCACATGAACCCTGCTAACAACTCCGTCTAGAACCCGTGCGAGATTCTTGCTGAAAGAGCATGACATCCATAACACTGCAAGTCCCTGCACCCTAAACCCTAATCCCTAATCCCTAAACCGGATAATGATTCCCTACACCCTAAACCCTGATCCCGAAACCCTAAACCGGATACTCTCAGGTCAACGAACCTCATGTGCCCGCCTCTGCGTGGCACCCTGGCACTGAGCCGACGCCGGCCATCGGAAGCGAAACAGCCACAGGCTGACTTTTACTGGGGGGGGAAGGGGGGAAGTTTTTTTTCATAACGGATGTTCTTAAGGCTTTTTGTTTTGTTTTTTCTTAGGGTTTGGGGTTTGAAGGGTCCTACTGGGAGATTGCCGCTTGGAAGCTTTCAGATGCTGTGTGGAGTAGAGAGGATTGGTTATCGTGGCAGCGTGGCGAACGTGCCGGGAGACGATTCCGGCTGTGATGCGCTGCATAGCATAGTTTTCGGTAATGTGCACAGCCGCGGTCGGGCCCGGTCAAAGGGAAATTGGAAAGCACGATTCATGGAAATTTCTAGTATAGGAATGCCGCCAGGTTTGGGGAAGCGTTTAGTCATGTCGTCCGTACATGGGGGGAACCATAGTGCGATTCCAGCCACACATTAGTTAACAGAGAAGGTGTCAACAGTAAATCCTACATGGAGTTTCCGAAATGCGAGGCCTAAGATAGTTCCCCAAATAGTAGGACCCTGATTACAACGACTCCAAATAGGGTCCCTATCTTTCGGAAACTCCAAAATGCAAGCTCGACGACTCGCACCCGATACCCTAAACCCTAAACCCCTTATGAAACCCTATAGTCCCTTCAGGGAACCCTTTAAGGATCCCTTTAACGGAAGTCTTTGAAGGAACCCTAAGGTATCATGCAAGCTCGACGACTCGCTACGGTTGATGATGTAAATCCTGCATTACCCATAATAAGGGATATACCATAGTTCCCATAGTTTAGAGTCCTGAGGGTCATGCAGGACTTTGTCCATCAGCAGTATCATGCAAGCTCGACGACTCGCTAGGTCGCCCCAGAGCTACCCTGTGAGCCGGTGGCAGAGCGCATGGTTAGGACGAAGAGCTCGTTCTCACGACGCGCGACAGCCTGTTCGGTTCCTTAACGGGTTCCTTAAAGGGATCTACAAGGGATCTGTGAAAGGGTTCCTTAAAGGGATCTAAATAAAAGGGGTTTGTAGGGTTCTATAAGAGTTCTACAAGGAGGATCATGTTTTTCAGAAGGTCGCCCTTGTTTAGGGTTCTCAGGGCGGAATCTCGGATTCCCTCTCGCCTTTGGGCGGTTTCTAGGGGTGTTCTAAGGGTCTTTGTCTTGTGTCTTATTCGCTAGGATTTAGGGTTTAGGGTTTAGGGTTTTGGTGTTTAGAAACTGGCCTAAACCCTACTTGGAGGGTAGGTTACAAGTAGACTTATGAGAACCCTAAATGGAGTTACCCCAATTGTAACCCTACTTGTATAACCTACTTACTAAATCCCCTGCCCCTCCAAGTAGACCTGAAGCACTCGCCGGCCCGACCAGCTCCCAGGACACGGAACGCTCCCAGGCACATGGGGGGCGCTTTCCATTCATTCCCTCATCGGCTTTTTGCATCTCAGGGTTGATATAGTAGGGTTTCAAGTCAGTTTAGGCGCTTTGGGGTTTTACACTATGCCTTGTACCCCATACCCTGGACCCTGGACGTTTTCGGGGTTCGGGATTGCGGTTGAGGGTGTGGGACTTCAGAAAAAGGATGAAACGGTTTTGGTCTTACATTGTATAACCTCTTGTCATTAGTTTTTTGGGTTGCGGAGCCAATGTTTCGCAGCGCTCAGGTCAGCATTCTGCAGCCGTTCCTGCTGCAAGTCTTGTAGTTCTCACGAGCATCAAACCCTAAACCCTAAACCCCTAAGCCCATCCTCCTACCAACGGGCGGTTTACCGAAGGGTACAGACTTGGGCCCTTGGGCCCCCCCTTCAAACTCCCGAAGAGCTGCAACCAATGCCCTTTTCGTTTCAGGGTCTTGGAATTCATTTGAAACCCGAACATCTAAACCCTAGACGCAAAATAAACCCTAAACTCTAAAACTAACGCCGATGCTTCTCGAATATCACGTTTCGCATCCGGGCTTTCCGATTTCGCCAAGCCTGAAATCCAGAGCTTTGAATCGAGGCAGAAATTTTAAGCGAAACCCCTAAACCTAAACCCCAAAGCACTACACCGAAACCCGAAGCCGTGCCGTGAACTGTACAACCCAGATGGAACATTTTGAATACAACTTGAAAGTGGGTTGTAAGGGTACCTCATATGAATCTCTACATAAACCAGCACTAAACAAAGCCCAAGAGCAACTTAAACTCCACGATTTGTGGTTCGAAATCTTTACCCTTCTGCGTTTGCTCTTGATATTGCTGGATTTGTGAATCCTTGGGAAAGTCTAGTTCGAAGCAGTTGATGTCACTTCTGTTGTCATTGCTCTCGTCGCTCTTAATCTTGTTTCTGCTGGTATTGTCTTTATCTTTGCCCTGAGCCCTAAAGCCTAAAGCCATCATCGTGTCGGTATGCTTCTCGGTGTCTTTTAAGGGACAAAGCTGCTGCTAGCTGAAGGAACAAATAGTTCGTCACAATGTTAGTGAGCGGCTCTGGGTGAATTTAACTTACTACGTCGCATCTCCCAGCCTTGTTACTATTGCTTTAGCTACTATTACATACTCGTGCGATCGTGATTGCTGCGATTTTTCTGACGGTCATCATTATCATCATTATTACGAATGGGATTATTCTACATGTCTGCTGCGAAATAGCGGTCAATTTGACCAGAATCTAATGTTCTTACCATTTTATCCTAGTATCTTGTTATTATAAAGTGAGTGTGTGTACTGTCTATGTGCGTACATGCATACCTACATTAACCCCGAAACCCCTGAACGCCTAACCAAGCTTAATCCCCAAACCCCTAAACCCCTAAATCCCTAAACCCTAAACCCCAAAACCACTTGGGAGTTTCCGAAAATTAGGGGTACCGTATTTTGGGGTCTTTATAAATCTTACTATGTAGGGTACTATATTAGGGTCCCCTATTTTCGGAAACTCCCACTTACACAAAGACATACCCCTAAACCCTAAACCCTAAACCCTAACCCGTAAACCCTAAACCCTAAACCCTAAACCCTAAACCCTAAACCCAACTTAAGAAAAAAAAACCCTAAACCCTAAACCCTAAACCCTAAACCCAACTTAAGAAAAAAAAACCCAAACCCCTAAACCCTAAAACGCGAACCCGGCGGCTTCCTCGAGGCCTCGTGGACGTGAGCGCGCATGCCTGGAAGCTCGCGCGGCAACTCAACCTCGACCACCACGAGGCGCGCTGAGAGCCGACAGAATTCTAGATCCCTTTAAACTGAACTCTTATAGAACCCTTAGAGATCCCTTTAAAGGAACTCTTATAGAACTCTTATAGAACCCTTTAAAGGAACATCACAACCCTAAACCTGAGTACAGCACCTCCTTAAAAAGGAAGGTACATCAGATGATCGTGAAAATTTATCAGCACAGCTTTTTTTCATTTTTTGTTCAGGGCGCTTAGGACTGAACCTGGTCTGTAAGGATTTCCCTATAGCTTAGAACCTGCGTTCCATCCGAAACCCCAGACTGACTCTCTCCGCAGTTTCGGGCTCCTGTTCTTCGAGGGTGGCCGTCTGAATCGTCGAGAAACGTCGCGCCGGCCCCCAACCCATCCCGGCCTCCACGATCCCAAGCCCTAAACCCAAACCCAATCAAGCAGTAATCAAGAAAGCCGGACCGGTGGTCAGGTTTGAGAGCGTTCAGGGTCTGTAGGATTTAGGGTTTCAGGGCTTGGGGTTTAGGGTTTAGCGGCACCCAGACACCTCAACATCTCTTGGTTGCGGATTTGTCACCAGGCATCCCTTTATGAAAGGGTCTTGGAGTCTCCGAGTAGACCAATCCTAACCCCAAATAAACCCAAGCAAGGGGCCTCCAAAGCCCCTTAAATTAAGGAATGTACCTCAAAGCAGAGTAGGATCCCTAATTTGATTTCAGGTATATTCCTTAACAGTGGAGGAGTGGGATCTCTAAAATGATTTCAGGTATATTCCTTAATTAATATTGGAGTCTCTGGGAGGTTCCTACTTGGAGGGTCGGGGGATTTAGTAAGTAGGTAGTAGGTAGACGTATACGTACCCTAAGAGGGACCCTAATTCTGGTTATGGTATTTATAAGTCCATAAAATAACCCGTTACTGAGTCCCCCGACCCTCCAAGTAGACCCCAAACCCTAAGGACGCCCTGAACCGGAGCCCCAAAGTGCCAAAACCCTGAACCCTAACATTCCTCAGCCCTGAACCCTAAGTTCCTAAGCCCTGAACCCTATAAGGTCCCTAAACCCTAAACCCTATAGACCTGAAGGTTCCTAAGCCCTAAACCCTATAGACCTTAAGGTCCTTAAACCCTAAACCCTAGACCTTAAGGTCCCTAAACCCTGAACCCTAGACCTTAAGGTTCCTAAACCCTGAACCTTGAAGTTTTTAAACCCAGACCCCAAGGTTCTAGGGTTTGGTTTGGGTTTAGGGACATCACTTGGAGGGGCAGGGACTCAGTAAGTAGGTTATAAGTAGAGTTATAAGTACCCTAAAAGGGACCCTAATTGGGGTTATGGTACTTATAAGTCCTTAAAATAACCAGTTACGAAGTCCCCCGACCCTCCAAGTAAGGTTCCTAAACCACTGAACCCGAAAGCGCCAAGGGTAGACGCTGCAGGTGAAGTTTGCGCTTGATACGCTCCAGAGTGCTGCGTGGTCCGAGAAAAATGGAGGCCAGATGTGGGGTGTAGGGTTTATGTGGGATTTTGGGGCGTGGGGTGTAGGATTGAGGGGGTATGGTGAATGTATTCAGTCTTTCAAGCCGTTTTGTTTGTCTCCTTGGCTGAGAAACCCTAAACCGTAAACCCTGAACCCCTCAACCCTAAACCCTAAACCCCAATAAACTTCAAAATCCTAAGCAATAAACCCTGAACCCCTAAACCCTAAACCCCCAAGAAAGAAATAGAAATTGCTTGTCATTGCTTGCGTTGAACCCCCTAAACAATCAATTTCAAGCCCAACATGCACGAATTTCGTCCGCACCATGCCTCAGAGAACCCAGAACAGACCCTTCTGCACACAGCGCATTGTGCAGTCGCCCCTCCGCTCAAAAGCATTCCGCAAAACGAGCTCGCACCTATACGTGCTCAAGCCGCAAATGAAGCCTCGCTGGAGACCCCGTCAGGCGCACCCCCCTGTTTCCCACACCACCGATTATGCTATCAGAGGCACAGGAAAACAACGCACTGCTCTCGCGCAACTCGAAATCCACCGGGCTGCTACACTGCTTGGGGTGCGTCATGGCGTCGAAGCCTTATGGATATTTTCAATAGCAAATGCCGGCAATGTCGAGATGTCACGCGGCAAACCAGCCCAGCCCAGCCCAGCACCCAGCCCAGCCCAGCAGCCGCCAGCCCAGTCCCCCAGCTCGCAGCCCCAGCCCCCGCCCCAGCCCCAGCCCGAGCCCCAGCCCCAGCACCAGCCCTAGCCGCTCATTCCCAAACTCAGGTTCCAGTCAATCAAAACGTTTCGCTCAAAACTTTCGGTCAAAACTTTCGCTCAAAACTTATTGGCACCCAAACCCTTAACAATTTCTATACACCAGCCCGCCAAAACTCGACCCAAATCCTACAGACCTTCTGTAAACCCTAAACCCTAAAACCCCCTAAACACATGATACATAGAAGGTGTGTGTTGAAGGGGCAGGGCCTCTAAACCCTAAACCCTACACCGAGCCCAGTTTGTGAGGGTACGGCTTAACGATACCATGACCGCGGTAAAACATCGGCACTGTATCGCAGGCCTGACAGCTCGGGTGCTGTCAAAGCGATGAGTGATCCGTACGATCGTCTGGAAGACAATCACTGCTACATTATCTTCAACGGCCGAATCTACACGGGCGAAGTGGCAGTGCGCGGGACATGTATTGATGAGCCGTGCCTTCCGTCGATACGGGCACACGTACCCTCTTTGATTTTGCTTGTTCGGGTGGAATGCTTTGTACGCTCCAGGTGTGGCGTTGCCCTGCGCATACGGTTGTGGATGCCCAGCTCATGACGGCAGATATGCCGCCTCCAGGCCCGCCTGCACCAAGTGAGAAGGTCAAACCCTTGCATCGCGGTGTGCCAGGTCGTTCGTGGAGTCAAACAACTGAAGTGGGGGGTGGTCGGAGAGAGGGAGGAGAGAAAGCGAGAGAGAGAGGGAGGGAGAGCGAGACACAGATAGAGAGAGATAGAGAGAGAAAGAGAGAGATAGAGAGCGATAGAGAGAGATAGAGAGAGATAGAGAGAGATAGAGAGAGATTGAGAGAGATTGAGAGAGATGGAGAAAGGGAGGGAGAGAGGATATCGCCGTGGGCAGTGAGTTTGATTGCTCGCCGCGTCCCGCTGTCGGTGAGGCATGACCATCCACGACAGCACTATAGCCGCAGGGGGGCGACGCGACGGGCGGCTCGTTCATGTGTGCAGGAGCTACAGCGTCAGCACCATGCCGTCTTCGCGAACTTTCCCACAGCACAGATTATGCTACTAGTGCCGCAGGACCGCAACACTAGCCCTGCTCTTTGGCAAGTCGAAATCCGCCGGGCTGCTAAACTGCTCCGAGCACTCCGGTCACTTCAACACAGCACGCTCCGAGATCTAGTTCGGCAGCTATTTTCCAGCGAATTATGGTGTGACGACGAAGATCTTGTCCACGCCCTCCCCGCACTGCTTGGGGTGCGGCATGGCGTCGAAGCCCCATGTATATTTTCGGTAGCAAACGCCGGCAATGTGGAGAAGCCGCGCGGCGAGCCAGCCCACCCCAGCCCAGCCAGCCCAACCAGCCCCTAGCCAGCCCCAGCCCGAGCCCCCAGGCCCCAGCCCCAGCCCCAGCCCCAGCCACTAACCGCTCATTCCCAAAATCAGGCGGTCAAAGCTTTCGCTCAAAACTTATTGGCACCCAAACCCTTAACAGTTTCTATTAAACCCAAATCTCCAAAATCCTCAGCAATAAACCCTGAACCCCTGAACCTTAAACCCAAAACCCTAAACCCTTAAACCCTAAACGCTAAGCCCTCATAAACCCTGAACCCCTAAACCCTAATAAACCTAAATCCTCATTCAACACCCTGAACCCCTAAACTCCTAAACCCCAAACCCCTACACCCTAAACCCTAATAAACCCTAATAAACCCTAATAAACCCTAACAAACCCTAATAAACCCTAAACCCCTAAACCCGTAAACCCTCATAAACCCTAAACCCCTAAACCCAAAATCCTAAACTCCTAAACCCTAAACCCTTAAACCCTTAAACCCGAAACCCCAAGACCCCTAAACCGTTTAATTCGGCCCTTTCGGCTCGGGGTGGAAAGGTTTTGGCCGAGGTTTTCAAGGCCTCAGAGTCGAAGAGGGTTTAGGTTTTAGGGTGTGGGGTTCTGGGTTTACGGTTCTGGGTTTAGGGTTTCGGGTGTGGGGGTCTTGGTTTAGGGTTTAGGTTGTAGGGTGTGCGGTTCTGGGTTTAGGGTTTAGTAGCCTTGAACCGCATCCACGTCAAAACATACCCTAAGCCCCAAAGCATTTAGGGTTTGGGGTGTAGGGTTACCATACACACCTGAACCCCTAACGTGTAAACCAAAGTCTTTAAGCTTAAACCGGAGAACATAAGCAAAGAAACCTGCACACCACATCCCGAAACCCGCAGACCAGTTCCAGGAACCAATCGAGAGCCTTCTAATACTGAAATCCCCAATACCCAACCTTTCACTTCTCGCGTTCTTATAGTTTGTTAGGAATCGGAAAGTTTAACCTTCTGTTTCTGTGGCTTATTGGGGAGTAAGAACAATGAGACACCTTACCAATTACAACGGGCTTCTGCGGAGTTATCGATTATAATAAGACAATTAGGCACAGCCCTAAGGAACAGTATTGGTAATTGCGCAGAGCTCTAGAGATCAACAGCCCCTTCACCAGAATAGGTTTGGGTACCCTACAATAGTGCAGGTCTATTACTCAGTGGAGTCTACATTACCCCACCCTGCACTCTTGCCCTAAACACCAAACCCCAAACCACACAATTCCAGATTGCGAAACCGAAGCCTCAAAATTCCAAAACCCTATCCAAAAACCTAAGCTCTAAATCATTGTAGAGCCCCTTTTACTGATAGGCAAACCACGTACAACAAAACCGTATAGAATCCTCGTAGGAACCCCCACGAGCCGCTTATTCAACCCATACAGTATCCTCATAAAATCCTTGTAGCTTTGATACGGACAAGAATCCTGACAGCATCCTCATGAAGCGTTTCTTGAACCTTAACAAGCGATCCTTTGCCCCAGGCATGGACCTCCCGACCTTCCGAAAATGCCTTCTCAAAATCTTCGACAGACAGGATCCCCCCGCGGGGCTTCGGGTTCAGGGTCTTGGGTTTAGGGTTTCGGGCTTAGTGTTGCGGGTTTAGGGCTTTAGGGTTTAGGGCTTTAGGGTTTAGGGCTTGGGGTTTAGGGTTCAGGGCTTAGGGTTCAGGGTGGAAACACTGAGCCCCTGAAGCTTGGATTGACGAGTCTTGTTGTTCGGACTTTTTTTTGGTTTGTGGAGTTTGGAGTGCTCGTAGCTTTTGAGCCTTTTTCTTTTGGGTTCGCGTATTCCTTATTAAACCCAAACAGTATCAAAAACCGGTACCCTTACTGCGAAGGGGCTAATTACTCAGGAGCCTATTTAGTATGAGGCTTTATTGGGTTTAGGGCATTCAAGGGTTGTACATATTGAGACTGGCACGCCGTGGCGGCGTGTGGTTTCGAGGAGACCAGTGTGTACATGCATACTTTGAAGACTGAGAGTATCTTTGTAGCTAGTCGGAGGATGCATTCCTCTTTGAGCATGTTGTTTACCCTCACCAGAATCAAATCGTTTTGCTATTGAGCCGTGGGCTCAGAAACCGGACATGCTGGCAAACCATAAGCCTCGACATGACACAGACCGAGAGCTAAGCTCAACAAAAAGCCCTGCATCCACAAGCCCTAAACCCTGAAGCTCTAAGTTTAAATCCCTACGGTTGATGATAGAAATCCTGCATTACCCTAGGACCCTGGAAGAGGAATTATGCCATATTCCTTACTATGGGTAATGCAGGATTTCTATCCCTCAACCCTAAACCCTTAAAGGAGCCCCTTAAGGGTACCCTTATAGATCCCTTTAAGGGAACCCCAGGATTTATACCATCAGCGGTTTCATTCTGAAGCCTCAAGGCTCCAAGGACCCACAGAGCCCAAGGTACCCTTATAGGAACCGTAGAGCCCTGAACCCTCCAGGCGCAACTTATAAGCTACTTACTGAGTCCCCTGCCCCTCGAAGTAGACTCTGAACCCTAAACCCCATAGATCCCTCTAAGGAACCCTATAGATCCCTTTAAGGGGCGCTTTAAGAACCCTTACTAAGTCCCCTGCCCCTCCAAGTAGACCCTAAACCCTAAACCCCATAGATCCCTCTAACGAACCCTATAAATCCTTTTAAGGGGCCCTTTAAGAACCCTTACTAAGTCCCCTGCCCCTCCAAGTAGACCCTAAACCCTAAACCCCATAGATCCCTCTGAGGAACCCTATAAATCCCCTTTAAGGGGCCCTTTAAGAACCCTTACTAAGTCCCCTGCCCCTCCAAGTAGACCCTAAACCCTAAACCCCATAGATCCCTCGAAGGAACCCTATAGATCCCTTTAAGGGGCCCTTTAAGAACCCTTACTAAGTCCCCTGCCCCTCCAAGTAGACCCTAAACCCTAAACCCCATAGATCCCTTTTGTGAACCCTATAGATCCCTTCAAGGAGCCCGTTTAGAAGCCTTACTAAGTCCCATGCCCCTCCAAGTAGACCCTAAACCCAAAACCCCATAGATCCCTTTTGTGAACCCTAAAGATCCCTTTAAGGAGCCCTTTCAGAACCCTTACTAAGTCCCCTGGCCCTCCAAGTAATCGAACCCTAAACCCTAAACCCGTATAGATCCGTTATGAAGGAACCCTGAACTCTAAACCCTTATAGATCCCTTTAGCCTATAGATCCCTTTAAGGAGCCCTTTAAGAACCCTTACTATGGGAACCCTATAGATCCCTTTAAGGAAGCCTATAGATCCCTTTAAGGAGCCCTTTTAAGAACCCTTACTATGGGAACCCTATAGATCCCTTTAAGGAACCCTATGAAAAGCCGTCCGCCCCGTAAGCTCCGGAAGCCTGGATCTCCCCCTGCCCTACTTGGAGGGGGGCCAGGGGGACTTAGTAAGGGTTCTTAAAGGGCTCTTTAAAGGGATCTACAGGCTTCCTGAAAGGGATCTATGGGGTTTAGGGTTTAGGGTCTACTCGGAGGGGCAGTTGATTTAGTAAGTAGGTTACACGTAGAGTTATAAGCACCCAAATCACCCCAATTCTAACCCTACTTATAACCTACTGGCTGAGTCCCCTGCCCCTCCAAGTAGGCTAGGCATCGATTTGGGATAACGTTGAAATCAACACCTAGTAAGCATTGAACTCCGAATGAACCGCTTAATCCTTGAGCCGCAGGACATCTCGGATGGCGTTCTGCACGCCGCCTGGCTCCGGTGAGGAAGTGGGCTACGTCAAGCACCTTGCAGCCCTGTCGGGCTGCATGAGAACTTTTGTACAAGACAGCCCGAAACTTTATTCAAGCCATTCAGCTCTTATATTAGGCTTGTCTTGGCGGGGGTTTTCTCGGGAGTCCAGTATGCACGATGATCATGGGGTCATTATGAGGCAGGTGAGGAAGAGAAGTGGAGGAATATCAGTAGTGGTCACACGACATGACGATGACGACGGCATTGCGATTAATTCTGTTGATGGTGATGGTGATGTGTGTGGCGGTTGATGATTATGATGACAGTGTTGTGAGTCGGGCGACGGTCATATGGCTATCGCAATTGATGCCTCTTGACGATGGCAAACTGTGATTGCAGCATCGGTTAGATAAAGGTGTTGCAGGTATGGATGATGATGATGATGATGTTGATGATGATGGACTTGGTGCAGTGCTTGCCCATGATACTAATGACGGTGGAGATTGATGAAGCGTTTTGCTGACCATGGATTGCAACAGTGATGAGGATGACGACGGCTGCTGCAAGAAGAGTGGCAGTAAGAAGCACGACCAAGACCATCAACGCTGTACCACCACCACCACCACCACCACCACCACCACCACCACCACCACCACCACCACCACCACCACCACCACCACCACCACCACCACCACCACCACCACCACCACCACCACCACGATTCACTGGGAGATAGGATGCGAAAGAACAAATGCAATGTCAAGCATGATGACGCTGGCACCCAGCATCAGCCAAACCAGCAGCACATCACACGCACAATTGCCGTCAGTCTTATTGGCAGTAACTCACATAGGAAGACGTCAACCAAGGTACTGAGTGAAGTAATACTGGCAGCAAAACCATCGACATACACAGCCACATGGGCAACAATGGCGGCAGAAATGCTGCCACCTCCGGTCTGAATGAGAAGCAAGAACTTGTGGTGATCGTGGCGATGGTGATGGAGTGTATCTGTTCCAGGCCGCCTACGAGGACTGCGGTGTGGGGGAGGGCCCCATCGAGCCGCGACGCTTCCTGGTGGCCGTACTTAGATGATCATGGGACTTAGTAAGTAGGTTATAATTGGGGTTATAAGTCCCCTAACTGGGGTTATCCTAATTAGAATTAGAACCTACGTATAACCTTACTTACTAAGTCCCATGAGCCTTCACGTGCACTCTACCATTCTGGACTTTTTTGCACCTGTCTGTTGGGTCAGTCGTGGCTACCAGTAGTGTCCTTATGCCCGCTAGTTTTTGGGTCTTCCTCTGCAAGGCTCGAAAGACATGAGCAAGGGAGTACAACCATGGAGTTCTTGGGTTCGGCTACGCCGGCCGAATCTGGCATGAACTGGAAACCTCAAAACCCGAAACTCCAATCCTTGCATTCCAAAAATCTGAGATTGAAATCGTTCTAAACCGATTTCCTTTCTCTGATTCCTAAAGTATTCAGAGTTTGAGGTTCGCGAGCAATGAAACATCAAGATAGCCCTACGCGTCTACACAGTAGTAACATTCCTTGCGGTTCCTGGTCATTAGTAAACTTAAACCAGCAGTCCATAATATTATGTACCCCAAACCCCACTCAATTGTGCAGGCATCCATACTACATCGTTTGAAAAACTAAACCGCTGACACTACTAAATGAATGGGTGCATGAATTTCGATAAACCCGAAAGTTTCCTAGTCCTACAAGCTTACAGCCCTTAACCCCAAACCCGAATTCCGCAACCCTTTAACCCTAAACCCAACAATCCTAAACCACTAACCCCAGACTCTTAATCCTAAACCCTAAACCCATTAACCCTAAAACCCCTAACCCTACACCCATCAACCCTAAACCCCTAACCCCCAACCCCAGACCCTTAAACCCTAAACCCATCGACCTCAGACCCTTTACCCCAACTCCAGACCCTTAACCCTAGACCCTAAACCCATTAGCCCAAAAACCCTTACCCCCAACCCCAGACCCGTAACCCTAAACCCATCAACCCTAAAGCCCTGATCCCCAACCCCAGACACTTCTAAACCCCTTATCCCTAGACCCTTAACCCTAGACCCTTGACCACCGTCATCCTAACTTTAAAAAAGCAGACCCTTCACCATCAAGCATCCTAACTTTAAAGCAAAAAAGACCTTGAACCATGAAGCATCAGGCTTCAAGTAGACCCTAAACCCTAAACCCCATAGATCCCTTCAATGAGCCCCAAAGATCCCTTTAAGGAGCCCTTTAAGAACCCTTACTAAGTCCCATGAGCCTTCAAGAAGGCTGTTATAAACCCTTCTCTGGGTTAGCTTTCATCAAAAGGGGAAAAGGAGGGACCCTTAATGAGGACCCCTACCCTATAGATCCTTTAACCGTAGCCCTACTTAAGGATCATGGGACTTAGTAACTAGGTAACTATACTTATAATTGCTTATAGCCCCAATTAGGGTACTTATGACCTTACTTACTAAGTCCCATGATCCTTCAAGCAGACTTATAAGTAGCTTAAACGGGACCCTAATTTGGGTTATGGTACTTATAAGTCCTCAAAATAACTAGTTACTAAGTCCCATGATCCTCTAAGCAGGCCCTAAACCTTAAACCCCCTAGATCCCTTTAAGGAACCTCTATAGATCCCTTTTTAAGGAGCCCTTTAAGGAGCCCTAGATACTAAGTCCCATGATCCTCTAAGTCAGCCCTGAACCTTAAACCCCCTAGATCCCTTTAAGGAACCTCTATAGATCCCTTTTTAAGGAGCCCTTTAAGGAGCCCTAGTTACTAAGTCCCATGATCCTCTAAGTCAGCCCTAAACCATGAATCAGGCTTCGTGTCCTGGTATCGGGACCATCTTTTCTCCCTGGGCTGCGAAGGAGGCCACGGTTTTTAGGGTTTTAAGGGTTTAGGGTTTAGGGGTTAGGGTTTAGGGTTTAGGGGTTCAGGGGTTTAGGGTTTAGGGGTTTAGGGTTTAGGGTTTAGGGTGGCACGAACCGCCGAAATTTTCCAAGATCCCTTAAGTAACATCGGGGCCGGTTTAAGGTCCTTTAAAGGGGTCTATAAGGGCTACTTTAAGGGTTTAGCACAGGGGCCGTGATAGTCACCTATGCTATTTTGGTGGTTCCTGTGATAATTATGGTATGATAATACCCCAAAACCCTACTCTAATTATTAAGGTGCCTAAATTATACCTTAAGTGCAGAGCTTTATGGGGTTTGTAGGATTGAATACATCTTAAACCATGAACATGCTTTAAATGATGGTAGGGTCCATACCGTGATTTCAGGAGCATCGCTGAGTTCAGGCTATATTGGAAAATCCGGAAGTGCTCAGGTGTGGTGTGGGTTCTCGGTTTGCAAGGATAGGGGTCCTAAACACTAACCGTTAAACCCTAAACCTTAAACCCCCAAGCCCTAAAGCCTAAAACTCGTGAATCCACTCCAGCCTACCCTCAACCGTAAACCCAATGTGGGAGGCCTTTCCCCAAATCTATAGGCCCTTATAATGAACAATATTGATTTTGCAGACCCCGATACAGCCTTATGAACCCTACAGCACTCTCTAGTCTCTAGGGTAATTGTCAGAATCATGGTCCCTTTCAAAAGTCCCTACTCTGAACATGGCGCCCCAAAGTTTGGGAACCCAAAAACTGGTATTTGGAGTACCATACTTTTATACTGTTTTTTCTTAAAGGAGCCATTATGAAATAAGAGTTTATACCATTTTCTCCCTGTTTACTTAAAAGCCCAGCAAAGGGACCCCAGTTGTGACCACCGCCCATGTAATCAAGGGCTCAAGCTGGAATATCCGGGATTCAGGTCCTGTCCATTTTGGTTCTCAACATTATACTTGAACAGAAAGGTACAGGGCATCCTGATGAAGGGGTCGCACGGGAAAGTCGTCTCCCATACCACAGAACCTTTCAAAACCCCTTATCAAACAACCAGCCAAAAAGCACCAACATTAAAGCAACCTTATACGTGCCCAGGAACCAAGCTCATAAACCCCGAATGACCTTAAACCAGCGCATATAGTCGCAGACCTAGGTAGCCGCTTGACACTGGACTTGGCGAAGAAGCACCATTGCTCTTGCATGGACCTTGACAGCTCCTTGCCTCCATTCTGGCGTCGGATTAGTGCAGAGTCAGAGGCCTGAATAAGCAGTAACACTATACCTTGTGGTTCCTCGTTCTAAAGGCAGTATACTGTACTCCCCAAGCGTCCCTACAATGGGGCCCCACCACGGTTTTTATGCCGGTTCCATAAGGGGTTCCACACGGAATTGAAAATCCCAGAACCCCAAACCCTAAACCAAAGGGTTCTATAACAAGAAGTGTTTCCAACCAAAGCTTCGACAGCTTCGTTACCACGCCAGAAGACGGCTTTCTGAAAAATGTCTCGTCCCGAAACCCGTGGCTTCGCCCACGAACGTGCCGACAGGTTCCAGCAAGAAGAGTCCCCGTCTTGTTGGGAGTCTTGGAATCCTTGAGGAAGACGCCAGGTCTGTTTTCACCGTCGATGATATCAAGGACGCCATTCGTTCTGTAACCTGGCTGGCACACTGGTCCGCAAAGGAGGCTGTCAACCAAGCTTTGGCGGACGAATCGCTCGATCCAGATGCGATGGTGGTGTTGGCGTTGCAAGCCTTTGCCCGTACGTCAGGAAAGCTTGGTTGCTGCACCGTTGTGACCACGAAACCGCTCTTGCAAGTGCCGCCTCGTTTGCCGATCCGAGTTTTTTGAAGATGGCAGTAAATGCCACATTTCGGGACATTTTTTAGGGTAACTGAGAGCTCATGCCGCTGGGCGTTCTTTTTCTGGTCACCTTGTCCAATGTCCGCAGTGATGCTTTCGTCACATCGCGTTCCTTCGTGAGTGACGGTTTACTGAAAGACTCTTTTTCCTCCCCCAACCCCACTGAAGCCAAGCCGTGCCGAGCCATGTTTAAAACCCCGACTTGCATTCAGTTCCAAAAAACTGTTCTTTGAAGGGTAGCCGCCCGCTCCACCTCAACACAGCCACCCCCGTTGAAGCTCAGCGTTGCTGCTCAGGCTCAAGCAACCTGCCTGGAAGACTGTATGTTGAGAAGCGACTAGCTGTTCCTTGCCTTCCCCAATACTTGCACCCCCCCCTGCAGAACCATCGCTGCTCCACAGACATAGACAATCTGCCAAAAACTGCTTTGCATTAGCGCTGGCAAGCCACATCCCGCCCCCGCTGCCAGCAGCAAAGTGCACCTACAACAAGAAAAGGCATGTCCCGGTGCCGACCCCGTACCGGTGCCGACACCGGATGACCCAAAACTCAGGAAGCCCATAAGTCGCAAACCCTAAACCCAAAAACCTTAAATCCTAAATCCTGAACCCCTAAATCCTGAACTCGCCCAAGCCCTTAAACCTTCAAAACCCGCAGGCTTGAACCCTTCTCACCGGCACACATGCAGGAGTGAAAATGAAGTTCGATCAGTTCGACACCGACAAGTCTGGCGTCATTGAGTATCCAGAGTTTGACACCTGGACGAAGTTCCGGGTGTTCCATATTAGGATAGTGTTTAGGTTTAGCGTTCGGGGTCACGGCCCGAGTCTAGGCTGAAATCGAAGACCCTGACCCTAGCACCGGACACAAGAGTCTAATGCAAACCCAAGTCCCCAAATCCTGCCCCATAAACACCCTCAAATCATGCTAAAGGTGCCGTTTTTCAGTTGTTTAAGTCAAAAACAGGTGGTTCATGGAAGCCTTAGCCCTGAGGAGTGTATGGGGTGCCGGCAGTTGGAAGCACAAAAAGCAAAGGACTTCTAGAAGATTGCTTTTAGGGTTTAGGCTTGGTAAGAACAGTAATAGTTAGAAGCTGCCCCCACCCTGTAATAGTGACTATAAGGATTATATTAGGGCCCTGTTATAGTCGTATTATACCACTATTACAGGGTAGGGGCCCCTTCTAAAATAATAATGAATGCTGAAGGAAAGGATGATCTTCTCGCTGCTGCACTGTTCGAAGAACGACCTTCCCGAGTGCCGGATGCAGCGATTCTGGCCCGGGGCACTGTTTTGTGTTTTCGTTTTGCTACTTGTTTGGTTTTCGGATTCAGTATGGTTGTTGGGGATTCCGAAAGTTAGGAGGGGGAGTTACTGTCACAAGGATGTATAAATGTGGGCTTTATACAAGGGAGCCATCATATTAGTTTGTGCAAGTTGTATCAGCTGCAGGCAGGATGCTGAAGGGTCTGCCCCTGGGGGTTGTCCGTTTAGGATCCCTAAACCCTAAACCCGGGATTGTGCGGCGCTGGGCATCCATGTCGATTCCAGCTCACAGAGAGGCTGAAGCTGTTGTACGGGATTAGACCGTAAACCTCGCACGGTTTGGGATTTCGGTCGACCCTAAACCCTACACCCTAAACCCCTAAACCCTGAACCCTAAACCCCTAAACCCTGAACCCTAAACCCAAGCTCCCCAGCTCTTATAGGATCCTTAAGGGAGGGTGGTTCAAGGGGGGAGGGTATAAGGAATCCTTAGGGGACTGTAAGGGAACCTTAGGGAGTACTAGGGAGGATTAGGGATCACTAGGCTATATACCCCCCTTGGACCCTCCTCCCTTAAGGATACTACAATAGGTCCTTAAGCCCCAAAACCTTCAGCTGTAAGCAGGCATGAGCTGGACCAGGACGGCAACGGCGTGGTGGACTTTCAGGCGGCTTTTGGGCACCTTAACCTAGGGTTTAGGGTTTACGGAGTTTACGGTTTAGGGTTTAGGGCTCCCTCAACCTACCGTTTTAGAGTTCCCGAAAGCATCGCGAAGGGTTCTTCCGTGTGGAACGCCGCAGCTGAGTACATAGATGACAGACATAGAATCAACTTACTTGACTCCTTACTCTACACTCTACACTTGATACTTGACTCTACACTTGATACTTACTTACTTACTTGACCCCTATGACTGACTCTCTACACTTGACACTTGACTCTATGATACTTGACTCTACACTTGATATACGACTTACTTACTTACTTACTTCAATCTACTTATTAACTTACTTGACACTTGACACTGGACTCTATGTTATGCTATCTCTATACTTACTTACTTACTTACTTGACTTGCTTACTTATACTTGCTATACTTACTATACTTACTACTTACTGACTTACTTACTGACTCTACTTACTTACTTATTACTTATGATTATACTTATGATTACTTACTTATGACTGTCTCTCTATGCATCTATGACTTACTATGACTTATGACTTACTCTCTACACTCTCTACATACTATCTACAAATCTCGGTATCTTAATATTTCTTTTTAAAGGCGGGGGTGGCACCGTCGGGGTCCATCGGGAATGCAACCCTTCCCAGGGATTCGCTGCCTCGGGCGTTCAAACGCGAGGTAAAGTTACACATTTTAGGCGCGCGGGTGAACCCTTCCCATGGATTCGCTGCCTCGGGCGTTCAAACGCTAGGTAAAGTGACACATTTTAGGCGCACCGCGCAACCCTTCCCAGGGATTCGCTGCCTCGGGCGTTCAAACGCTAGGTAAAGTTACACATTTTAGGCGCCCGGCGCAACCTTTCACAGGGATTGGAACTCTCGGGCGTTCAAACGCGAGGTAAAGTTACACATTTTGCGGTTCCCGCGCAACCCTTCACAGGGATTCGCCTCCTCGGGTGTTCAAACGCGAGGTAAAGTTACACTTCTTGCGGGCGCCGCGCAACCCTTCACAGGGATTCGCCTCCTCGGGTGTTCAAACGCGAGGTAAAGTTACACTTCTTGCGGGCGCCGCGCAACCCTTCACAGGGTTTGGGTGCAGTTCAATTTTTTTTGCAACCTTTCACAGGGATTTGCATTTTGCAACCCTTCACAGGGATTGGCGTGGTCGGGTGTTCGAACGCGAGGTAAAGTTGCATTTTTTGATTTGCATTGAAATGAATTTTGCAACCCTTCACAAGGATTGGCGTGGTGGAGTGTTCGAACGCGAGGTAAAGTTGCAATTTTTGATGAGCATTGAGATGAATTTTGCAACCCTTCACAAGGATTGGCGTGGTGGAGTGTTCGAACGCGAGGTAAAGTTGCAATTTTTGATGAGCATTGAGATGAATTTTGCAACCCCTCACAGGGATTGGCGTGGTCGAGTGGTTGAACGCGAGGTAAAGTTGCAATTTTTGATGAGCATTGAGATGAATTTTGCAACCCTTCACAGGGATTGGCGTAGTGGAGTGTTCGAACGCGAGGTAAAGTTGCAATTTTTGGATGAGCATTGAAATGAATTTTGCAACCCCTCACAGGGATTGGCGTGGTCGAGTGGTCGAACGCAAGGTAAAGTTACACATTTTGCAGTGCCCCGCGCAATCCTTCATTGAGAGGGATTAGCTTCCTCGAATGTTCTAATCGGAAGGTGTGCAGGTACTGTTGCATGGTCTTTGGGCGCTGCGTGTAACCCTCTGCATGGATTGGAGTGGTCCAGGGTTGAAACGTGTGTGCAAACTACTACTTGTATGCTTTCCGCCGTGCAACTCTCCACAGGGAGTGGCGTGGTCGATTGCAGGAACTTGCATCTCTGCGAGGTGCAATTGGCAACCCTTCAGAGGGATTGGCAGATGCATATATCGATAATATACGCACATATATATATATATATATATGTGGTCGATTGCAGGAACTTGCATCTCTGCGAGGTGCAATTGGCAACCCTTCAGAGGGATTGGCAGATGCATATATCGATAATATACGCACATATATATATATATATATATATATGTGGTCGATTGCAGGAACTTGCATCTCTGCGAGGTGCAATTGGCAACCCTTCAGAGGGATTGGCAGATGCATATATCGATAATATACGCACATATATATATATATATATCTATCTTTCTATCGTGATGCAGTGTAAGGTCTGTTGTTCTGCATAGATCGAAGTCAAATCGCAGGCTTCTGTGGTCTCACTTGATCTTGCGAACTCCCACGAACCAGTTGTATGTGTGTATGTGTGTGTGTGTGTGTGTGTTTGTGTGCTCAAGAGACAACGCATTGCACGAAGCGTGCATTTATGAAGCACATGGATCCGTCAACGGAGCAGGAGTGCACCATGAAGTTGTGAGGTACCGTGGGCGTCTCAGGCCGATTGACAATCGAAGGCTGCCGAGCGAGAACTATGATGGGCGAACCGTCAACGGCAACTTCAAGTGCTCGCATTGGTACATTGGTGCGGCGGAAGCGTAGTGATTCCCAATGCCTCGGTGTTCTCCTCCTGGCCGCGACGTCCTGTGAGCAGACAAAGGCTCATCGAGACGCAGGAGCTCCTCGATTGCGTGGCACGTTAAATACTTTGCGGCATCTGGCGGGTTTCCTGGTGAAGTAAGGTGTTTCACTTCGGAACGGTGTCTTTCCAAATCCCTAATGACTGCACTGCCTTTCGCTGCTGGAATCCCGGCGCCACGGATCGCGCAGCAGCTCAGCGAGGTGGACCCGTTTGTGGTATAGGATAGATCTTAAATCCCCAATCATCCTTTGAGAGACCCGTGTTGTGACTGCCGCTTGGGAATGTTTGCCAGATGCCGCCGGGTTTCTTCTTCTGAGATAGTATACCTTGGGTTGATACACAGGGTGTCACCGAAGCCTGGGGCTCTCGATGAATGTCTGCAGCTAGAATCAATCTTTCTGGAGGAGGCTCTGGACCACCATGATCCCTGCATTAGTCCTACTACTAGGCCTAAGGACCCATAAGCCCCTGGCGTTCCCCTGGAGTCTGTTGAATCGGCTAAGTAACATACGCTGGCCTGTTGTGGTTTGAGATGAAGAGCGAAACCCTAATTCCCGACTCCTTTCAGAGACCAGTGTTGCGGCTTCCGTTTGGGGATGTTTGTCAGCTGCCGCTATGTTTCTTCTTCCATGATACTATACCCCTATACCCTGGCTTGGTATAATGCGTGCTATGGAGGCTCGGGGCTCCCGACGAACCTTTGCAACTACAATCAGCCATTTTCACGAGGCTCCGGACCACCGTAATCCCTGGGATGACCTCTCCCGGCACCTCCTCAGGCCGCCTCTCCGATGCCGGTCTTTGGGACGTTGCTTGCTTGCTTCGACGCTGTCTTGCGAAAGAGCAAGCAAGCAACGACCCAAACACGAGAAGAATGTGCGTGTGTGTAAAAAAAGCCAAGTCTTCAGGAAGATTTTAAGATGTGCCATGGCTGATCAGAGACCAGTCAGTCACCTGTGACTCTGTCCTCATTCGCAGCTCTATTATTGTGAAGTCAGTGAAGCTTCTTGCAATAACGCCATTTTCCGCAGCTGGTGTTTCCGCTGGTACAATGAGGACGATGTGAGGCGTTCCACCCTTCATAACTTGAGAGGCAGGAATGCCAAGGACGAGTGGCCAGTTCTTGGCCAGGCACATTTCCATATATATATATATATATATATATATATATATATATTATATGTATAGTATCCATATATTATGCATTTGCCAATCCCTCTGACAAGTTGCCACTTGACCTGTTGAGTCAGGCTCTGAGCCCTCACGCTAGGCGGATCTTGATTAAGCGTTCCCACACACAGGGCATAGAGTGAACTACATCGAGTCAAGTGTATGGTACAAAGATGACTCCACGACTCCGTGACTCTATCTCACTACAACTCTATGACTTTATGACTCATGACCCATGGACTCTATGACTCTTGATTCTGTGACTTTACGATCCTATACACTGACTCTATCTCACTACGACTCTATGACGCTATGTCACTGCAACTCTATGACTTTATGACTCATGACTCATGGACTCTATGACTCTTGATTCTGTGACTTTACGATCCTATACACTGGATCTATCACATAGCCCCACACTCTTCGCTGATGATGCTTTCGGGCCAATTGTCTTCTAGTTCATTGTTTTGTGTTTTGTGAGTTTTTATATACAAGTCCTTAACAAGGTAGATCCTACCCGGTCCTACCCTTTTCAAGGGTTTATATCGTAGTGTTTGGGGGTTTAGGGCTTTTAGGGTTCAGTGTTTGGGTCTTTCCTTTGCTGTGGAAGCCCTTCAAACCCGAATCACCCCCCCCCCCAGGGTCGAAACTTTAGGATTCAGGCTTGGGGTTCATGGTGTAGGCTTTATCTGGACCCTGGTAAACTAGAATGCCCAGTAGTACCCCTATTCCCTTCTTGTAGTCCAAGGTTCCTTATAAAGTTACCCAATACCAAAAAGAGAGGTCTTTTTATTCTCAGGTTACTGGGTATCCTAGTTTTTATGGTCTCCTTAAACCCTTAACCCTGAGCCCTACACTCGAAACGGTAGGTTACTTGGGGTTACGGCATTGCCAGGATCCATTCAACCGCAGTGCTCTGGGTCGGAAGGGTTTCGAGTGTCGGAGTCCGGCGGTCTAAAACTCGATTTAGGGTTTTGGGTTTTGGGTTCAGGGTTTAAGGCTTAGGGTTTTGGGTTCAGGGTTTCAGGTTTAGGGTTTTGGTTTAGCCCCCCCCAACGAACGATCATGCAGAATCTTTCTTCGTCAGCCGTGCCGTTCAGCAAGAGCATTCGACAAATTCACAGGCCCCCGTATAAGCCCTAACCGAAAACAGTTTCTCAACCCTAAACCCTCTATTCTGTGGTCTTTTGGGTAGCACGAAGGGTTCGGAATTTGCAGCTCGTTTGGCGGTTCTTTCAAGTCTTGGTGCCAGCTCCTTGAGCGACCCAAGCCTCAAGCCTAAGCCTAACTCCGCAAACTCGATTCCTTCGAAGGAGTTCACAGAGTGGTATTTGAAGTATTTCGCTTTGGCCGCTTGGCTGAACAGCGTGACAATCATGCCTGACTAATGCTTGTTTACGTTCAGGCTGGAAGTGACAAGAGATTTAAAAGTTTAGGGCCTAAATATTTACCTATACTATTTTGGGGCTTCCCTGTTATAATTATAGTATATTGGGCCCCAAACCCTACTCCAGTTATTACGGCCCCTATATTGGGCAGGGTGGCGGGTTTGGGCGCTGGGTGTCAGAGCATCGCTGGGGTTCAGTGCATGGGGTGTTGGTAACGGGGTGTACTTGGAAGGGCAGGGGACTTAGTAAGGGTTCCTAAAGGGCTCCTGAAAGGGATCTATAGGGTTCCTTAAAGTGATCTATGGGGTTTAGGGTTTAGGGTGTACTTAGAGGATCATGGGACTTAGTAAGTAGGTTATAATTGGGGTTATAAGTCCCCTAAGTGGGGCTATCCTACTTATAACCTACTTATATCCTTACTTACTATGTCCCATGAGCCTTCAAGTAGACCCTAAACCCTAAACCCCATAGATCCCCTTTAAGGAGCCCTGTAGATCCTTTTAAGGAGCCCTTATAAGAACCCTTACTAAGTCCCGTGAGCCTTCAAGTAGGGATGCCATCTCCAGCGCCGGGTCCAGGACATGATCACGTGTGGGGAAGGTTCTCATCATATGGGAGTTTCCGAAAATAGGGGACCTTAAATTCTGATAGCATCCCTAAACCCTAGGGTTCTTTTAAAGGGGTCTGTAAGGAATATTATAGGGACTAGTATGGGGGTTTAGGGGACCCGAATATGGTACCCCAAATAGTAGGATCCTTATTAGAAGGACCCCAAAAGAAGGTACCCCCTATTTTCGGAAACTCCCATATGCACTTGCCCTTATCAGCTATTGACCATCGCAGCCGGTGATTTGTTTTTCGGAGGTGCAGACGTTGCATTTGAGATAGCTCGTGTCACTGGCATGGACAACAACAAGCCGATTGTTGCGCTTTCTTGCCTTGCTCCCTGGCGTCCAAAACGAGCCTGCAGGCACACGACGTGCCCCCCCAACCCACTACCCACTAGTGTGCTCGCTTCACTTCTATGCTTCATGCGCGACTATTCATTCTGTGTTTTGGGTTTCCGCTGCTTTTGTCATGAGTGCGAAGATCAACTCGGACTGCGGGGAGGCGTCTGCTCCGCCTCCTCCTCTTGGTCTCCCTCACAGTAACCCTTACGAACTTGAAGGGGGCCCTTAAAAGAACCCTTGAAGGAACCCAAAGGCCCTTTAAAGGCACCCCCCCAAAGCTGAGAGCCCCAGCGCGCAGAGGAATTTGCTCACGCACGAAACCCTTTAAATTAAAGGAAGCTGGTAAAGGAACCCTATTCTACTCATTACCCTAAACTTTTGGCCCTTAAACCCTAAACCATCCTAAACCCCTAAACCCTAAGCCCTAACCACTAAACCCTAAACCGCTAAATCCCTCAAAGCTCTAAACCCTAAATCCCCTGAACCCTTAACTAAACCCTATTCTATTCATTACAGCCGCAGCTCGTAGAGTCTTTGCCATGCCCTGAGTGAGGCTCAGCTTGGGGGTCCGATCGAGGCATGGCTAGAGAGTTTAGGGTTCAGGGGATTCAGGGTTTGGGGCTTTAAGGGTTTCAGGGGTTTAGGAGTTTGGGGTTTAGGGGTCAGGGTGTACGGCTCTTGGCGGTTTTTAGGGCTTTTCGGTTGAGCATCTGGGGTAAGTAGGACGTTGTGGTGTATGGGTCCTACAATCGTCCCAAGGTTCTGGGTTTCTAAGTTCCATTTCCTAAGGTTCTTCGAATCATTTTAGAGACGTCCGCAATGTCTTTGTTCTGGATTCTTGTCTGACCGCCATCTACGGTTTATGTTCGTCCCCCAGTTATGCAGATGCTTACGAGCCGGACCCATCGACTCGACCACTTAATGCAGGATTCCCTCTTTGGGTTTGGGGTTTAGGGCTTGGGTTTGGGGGTTCGCAACAGCTCGGGAGGCCACAAGCATGATCCAGGTCAATGCTGCCCTTCCTTTCGGAGCAGAGTGGCCTTGTTACTTGAAGGCTCATGGGACTTAGTAAGTAAGGTTATAAGTAGGTTATAACAAGGATAACCCCACTTAGGGGACTTATAACCCCCAATTATAACCTACTTACTAAGTCCCATGATCCTCTAAGTACTCGAGAGCGAGAAGAGTTGAGATCCAGACGAAGGTATACGGGCTCCAAGCGCGACTGACAGAGCTCATGTGGGTGGTTCTAAAAATTAGGGTCCCTTTTGTGGGTCCTTATGATAATACGGCACCTAATATTTTTATGGTACCCAAAACAGGACCCTAATTTTGACAACTGCCCATGTGTGATGATGTTGCGAGATGAACTCGCCCATTCCCTCAACCCGTCGTTCACTTGATCATATTCGATCATTAAGCCATTTACTCACTCGGTGATGGTAGCTGTTTCGCGAATTCCTCGTATTGTTTTTCCAATATCATCAGAGGGGTGAGTGTAAATCTACGGGAAATGTACCTGAAAACCACGATGTAGGAACAAGGCCTTCTTGTCAAACCCTACAAATCCAAGCGTTCCGTACACCCGCCTGCCCAAGCCGAAGTCCTGATGTAAGTGATGATAGGCTTTCTATGCCTCCTTCTCGCCGGATGTGCAGCGTGCGTCCAACCTGGCAGCTTGAACTGAACTATGCATCCTGGAGTCCTGCATTGTTTCAATAAAGAAAATGCTATTACCAATTGTCTTTCTTGTATTCATATTGTACTGTATTTTCAGGGCTCTTGACTAAAGCTATTGTATACTAATTGGGTGTTTGGGGTTCCTGACTTTTTTTTGCTGTTTTATCATACTCGAGTTCCTTCTCCCAGTTACCATATATCACTACTGTTGATGATATAAAACCTGCATGACCCATAATAAGGAATATGCCATAATTCCCACATATTCCTTATAGGGCTCAGAACATCCCGCGCGGGAATCGCTAGAGCCCCAGTGTGAGTACTCTCACACGTCTTTTGATCACCCACAGTGGTGAGAACAAGCCGAGTGCCCAATAGTCCTACCTGGCACCGGACAGCAAGAAGGAGACGATCCAAGGCCAGAGCTCGGCTGAGACTAGCCAAGCTTCAAGGAGCTCCACCACGACGAAAGGATCTGCAAAGAATATACGCCCACCACGCGGCTCCGCCTTCCACAGTCTTCTCCGCCATGGGACGAGGACAACGACAAGACTATGGAGACTGGGATCCATCTTGGGACCCTGCTTGGTCCTCTGCACAGCCTTCCGATGCATGGAACATCTGGCGGGGAGCGTGGAAGAAGGGTCGCGAACAGACCCCACAACAGCCACAGAGGTTGTTTCCACACTACGACCAAGCCATTCCTCATGGCAAGGATGGCAAGGGTCGCAGCAAAGGCAAGGACAAGACCAAGGCTGCTGTGCCTATGGGGCCCTCAGACACCTTGGTCCCCGAGATCCAAGAGCTTCTCAACGTGACGCGCAAAGCAGAACAAAGAGTCAGACAACTTCAGCAGGCCAAAGAGAAGAAGATCCAGAGTTGGGACAGATACATGCAGGAGATGCAGAAGTCGTGGATGGAAGAGAAGCAGAGATACACCAAGAACATCGAGAAGATCGAGGACGACCTAGAAAAAGCACTTGTGGCGCAGGCCACAGCACGTCAGCAACTTGTGGAGAGTGTGCCCAAGGCCGGAGTCAAGGAGGCAGCAACCGACCGGAGTGCCAACGACGAGTGGGATGCCATGATGAACCAATGGGAGAAAGAACAATCAGAAGAAGATCCGAGTGCAGTATACAGGCGTGCAGTTGCAGCGGAAGCACAGCACAGTTCTGCACACCAGCCGAGGCCGCTTCATGCAGGTTCACCATTGGGAGATTACACTCAGTACCACTTGGATCAGCGAGCACCGCCCCCATGGATGCAGTGGATGCCTTGGGGTTTTCCGCCACCACCTCCAGGTTTCCTGCAGCCCAGTGCGGAGATGGGACACTCAGCAAACATGCAGGCCAGCCAACACCTCGGTGCTCCTACTACCAGAACTTCAGATGTGGGACCACAGGAGACAACAGGCGAACCACGACGATGCGAAGGACCTGCTTATGCTGGCACTTCGGAAGCACCTGTGAATGCACACCCGGGTGCATTTCAGGCTGCTTCACCGACACCAGTACAGCTACAAGCCAGGGATGCCAAGGATCGTGTCGACTCCAAGGTCTCACCAGTGCATCCAGGACAAAGAGATCTACAAGCTCCGAGACAGCCGACATCAGAAGCCCCACCGCGGCCAGGAATCAAAGAGGCTACCCGCTCCACACCAGTGCACCAGCACAAGACAGGACCTACCCTCACCTCCAAATTGGAGGCAGCCAGGGAACACGCGCTTCAGGAGGCGGCCAAGAATGCCATGATTCCGGAGTTTGCAGACGCCCCTGCTCACACGCCAATTCCAGTGCTCGACGACGACCCCGACGAACAGACGCTTCCTTCAGGTCTAGATGGCCTGAGCTGATCCCGGATGATGAGCAGTGGCATGGACTACACATAGAACTTGGCAGCCTAACGGTAGATGCCACGAGTCACCAACTTGGGTATGTTGGCGACTCGGTGCTGCTGACCGGTGGGCAATGCAGGTTTTATGATGTAGTCTATGCAAACGCTGCACACAGTGAGGCGGTGAAGCACACTTGTACAGTTCTGTACAAAGATAGGTTCGTCAAGCTTCTTACAGCCAGACAGGTTTTTCAGGAGCGACAGCAGCAACCTCGGGTCCTCCCTTTCTGTCCTTGCCATACCGGCTTTGCCTTCCATATGTCGCGAGACAAACACCCACATCTGCATTGGGCTATTGCAGTATTGTGGGTTCCTTTGTCTCCTTCCTCCTCGCGAAGCCTGCTCGGTCACTGGGTTTGTGATTGGAGCAGGCTTCCCCTGCCCTGCCACGATCTGACCTCCTTCCGTGGCCACTTCAGGTGCCAATGCGCCATTTTTGGCAGCACACCACCAAGGTCAGGCCAGGACAGCAGCCCTGCAGGCGAAGGCTCGCATTTTCCGCTAGAGTGCAAAAGAGACACATCGGTTGCTCTGGGGTGTCCACCTAGCTCTGCTGAGCCGCCTTTTTCAGAAGGTTTCATGTTGTGTCTCCTCAGTTGGATGAGACCAATTGTCAGCAGTATCCTGCCCTTCTTCTTTCTCGGCTTTTGCAGCCTACTGAGGCTGCTTGTACATCCACTCAAGCTGCGAAGAGTTATCCGTGCAAAACTCTTCAAGAATTGGGTCCGGATTGAGCAATTTGAAGTTGCCACTCCCCTTGCTCTGGTTGCCACACCAAGAGCGGCAGTTTTGGAATGGGGTGGGACATCCACGTCTGCCCACAGACCCTTCAGCTTCAGGCTCCCAGGAGCAAAATTTTGCTGGGCTGTCGCCTTCCTGTTGTGCCAAAGTTGTGTTCCTTGCCATGCAGTGGTCATACGCGCTGCCCCACCAGTCGAGCTTACGCGTTCAGCTTGGGATATAAGTTGCTCCCCAGCACACGCGGACAGTCAAACCTCCGTTCGTAAGGCAGAGTATCCCACCCTTCCTCAAAGACTAAACTTCAATGCACAAGGTACGGCGACAGGCACACCAATTTTGCCAGATGACCTTGATGAGTATCACTCTCTACCTCAGCCGGTAAGACGACCAGATCAAGGCCCCGAAGTTGCAGCAGTTGCTGAAGGGCACAGACCTGCCTCACAGATTGCATTAGCCACCTTCGTTGTCCTTACGATAGATGGTTGCCCCGAAGTCATCACCACCGCCTTTCGGACACCTGCTACGGTTGCAGAAGCATTACAATGTGTTTCGGATGCACGTACCCATGCCCAAGACATCATTTACAACCAGCTTCTCGAGGTACGGCCACAGCCCTTTTGTCACTTCGCGACGGTTATCGCCCTTCCCCTGTGGTGTCGTCAAGAAAGTGTAGTCTGCCTGGACCTTACGGATATTGATGGCAGGATTTTTGCCAAGAGCGTGCCCAGGCAGGTTGATAAGGCGACCTTGTGTGAACTGGCGGGCTTGCAGCTTCAGGATCACTTCAACATTTATGCCTTTGGCCACCCACAGCCTCTAGGACCTCAAGAGATTCTCGAAGTCGAAGAGGCAGGTTGCATTTTCTTTACGTACACATGGCAGCCAGGTCGCATTGGCCACATGTTGCCAGTCATGCTCAGGTCACCGGCAGGATGGGAAATCAGTCCTCGCATCCCATCCCCTGCTCCAGCACGCCGTTTTTGTTTTGTGCTCGAAGAAGGCCAAAGGTTACTCAAGTGGCCTAAAACCAGGGGCAAAACTCATCAGGAAGTGCTCGCGCAGGAGTACCACCTCGACCCTGCTAATGTTACCGTGCAGGCTTCTAGGCCACCACTTGAAGACACCGCACTCAATGGATGGCCATGTGTAACAGTTGCAGCGGTCACGGTTGAGATCAGCACGATACCAGTCCCACCAGGACGACCCGTGCCTCCCATGTGTGCTTTCATCATAGATGCCAGGCCTCTGTTGCGAGGCTTCCTTTTGAAGCATGCACTTCGAAACCGAGCTTCACACTCCACTTTGGTGCAGGAGCTCTCCACATTCCTTCCGGAAGGGCACCAAGTCCAACTCGACGGAGCCTTCATGGATGGAGAAGATTTCATCATCAATCCCGGCACCGTCATTGTTGCACAATATGTGCCACTCACCAGTGATGAGGAGGCAGATGGCGACACTGAGGGGAGCTCCAGTGCAACATCAGACGAAGATTCCACGGAGGATCATGATGGCCACACGTCCCGGCCTTCACCCCAAAGGGATCCCTCTCCCGCCTCTAGTTCTGGTTCTTCTGGTTCTAGGGATAGGTCCCGAAGCCGAACCCCTCCACGAAGGACTTCTCCGCCATCTGCCCGACGAACTTTGGATTTCGAGCAAGATGCCGAGGAGGAGCAACCCACAGCTTCTCATCCGTACTCGAGTACGGCATTGGCCCATCCCTCGGTTCCACTGCCACATCCCATTGACAGCAACGAAATACCAGCTGACAAGTTGCTACAAGAACCACCATGTAGTACGGCCAGCGAAGTTCGTACACTTAGGAACGTTCGTCATGCTGCACAACACATGCAAGAGCCATGGCCTTTCCTGCCAAATCCGCAAACCTTGGAGGCAGCCTCAGAGCATGACATCACAGAAACCTCTGCAACAGACACTACCATTTGGGCTGTAGTTGCAGTGCTCAAGCAGGCCTACAGCCCCGAAATACTAACTGTCGCAGTTCGCTTTCCAGCGACCCTTGATGAGGTCCAAAGAGCCGTCCAGGACGCAAGACATCCTGAGTGCGCCCTATGCTTTCCTCGCCTTACACCAGTTGCACCTCAGCCAGTGCCAGACATGGCAGTATTTACTGCAGAGCCATCCTGGGAACGTAGGGCCCCCTTTGTTTGCCTTAACCTGCTCCGCTGGGATGGACGCATTCATGTTGTCAAAGGGCAGACATACATGCGCCTCTCACAGTTGCTGCGGCTTGCCCTACTGCCAGAAGATGCTCAGGCCGAGGTATATGCAGGTGCAGATCAGTCTCCCTTGCATCAAGACACCCAGGTACATATCCATACGGGTATAGTTTTCTCCTTTGTCAGAGCTGGGGGCGGACCACCCACCTTCCGCACACTCCCTCAAATGCTTCTTGACCATAGAACATGGTCTGAAGACGCGAGTCTGCCAGCTGCCACAACTGCTGATTTCTATTGCCTGGTCCACGGGCCACAGCAAGTCCTGTTTCAAACAGACATTGCCGAGCCGATGCGTTATAGAGCACAGCTTGCACAGGCACTGGACATCTTGCCAACAGCACTTGACCTCCAACCTGCCAGGCCCAGACCAGATGATGTAGAAATAGATGGTTTTCAGTGTCGAACTGTCATCTCTGCAGCGGCTGTCCCAGGCCCACAACAAGGGGGACTATTTACACATGTTCTTGTAGACTGCCGCCCCTTACTGTTGGGATGGTTTTCTAAAAGGGTCTCAGGTAACATGATTGAGGTTGACGAACTTGTTCGCGAAGTCAGTGGTGTCTTTCAACAAGAGCTGCCTGTCGCTTTCCTGGAGGTTCCGCCAGGTACCCTGTTTTTTCAGGTCACGCAAGGCCAGGTACTCACAGCTGCTACGCAGGCTGAAGGGCCTTATAATGCCACTACGCAGGGAGCAACTCCAGCCGGAGCCCCAGACGCAACGCAGCAAATGCAGAGTGCATCCTCACATGCTTCTGCACATACCCAGGACGAGCACTCATCTCAGGTTGATAATGATGGCCCACAGGTTCCCGCAGAGCTAGACACTGCCGTCCAGCCTCCAAGTGATTATACGACGATCACTTTTCTCATCTTGGCACCTGACTACTTGCCGGAGCAGGTCGAAGTCCGACTCGCCCTGCCACAAACCACTGAAACAGCGCTGCAAGCCGTTGCTGCTGCCAGGGGACCCATCTCTGCACAACGTTTCCCCAGACTTGTCACAGTTGACTTCCAGCCGTTCAGTGAGTTTGCCATTGCACTGGCCATGCCTCGATGGACACCTTCCTTGATGTTCGTGTTCTTCGACTGTAGCCGACTCAACAACCGCATATCTGCTTGGACGTGCTTCCCACAGTTACACGTGCCGAAATCCTCAGGCTGGTAGGCCTACCGGATTCTTCCGATGCAGTTGTCTGCTCTGAAGATATGCCTTGGCCCCTTGCCAATGGGCAACGGCTCAACCTTCGCCATGGGCACACCATACAGGTCCTACCAGCTGGACATGGTTACTTCACGGTCGCGCGTTTGTCAGACATGTTGCTATCCGGCGCAGGCTGGAATGCTCAGGCTGATTTTCCGTGCGTTTTCGAAGACACAGCATGGGTCGTCTCTGATACAGGTGCATATCAGTTTGCAGTGCAGCCAGACCGTCGACACCTTATTCGTCAAGACATTGCATCTCGTGCAGGGGTCGAGACAGCCAGTATGATACTGCGTCCGGCTACACCCAATGTTTGCAACCACATGCACAAAGGCTCTGTGTCCAGAGCTGTCCTTGCTGCAGCGATTGCCAGCCCAGGTACCACGTACCACACACCCAGACATCCTATATGTGTATTAGACCTTCATCCGATCCTGCTGGGTTTTCAGTGGCGCTTTGCACCCCACGGCACACTGGATGCCGTCACATTGCTTGCTCAGCTTCAACCAAGGTGCCCCATAGGTTTTGTAATTGCATACTCTGCAGGTGGCGACCCACCGATGCCTCTGACAGGCGCTCTTGCCGTTCAAGATGGACTCACTGTTACTATTGAGTTTCTGCCACAAACTGACTCCTCTAGCCTGTCACAAGGATCGATCCCTCCTTCAGCTCCAGACACTGACAGGCCAAGAAGACAGACAGGCACCGGCGACGCAGCCTCAGGCAGCCAAGCAGGGCATCAAGCAACAGCCCCTGGAACAGGCGGTTCACCGGAAACTCTAGCCACCGATGGCACCGTACAGGTCAACAGCACAATTGCCGAGTCAGCGTTAGCCTACCATAGGCCGCACTCTGAACTACCGAGGTCTATTCAGGGTCTTCAAGTTCGGTTACTTCTCCTCCTCCTGGGTTTTATTTGCTCGCTAGGCAATGCCCCAGTAGGACTTCTGCTTCCAGCCGTGGTCCTTTGTGGAGAATTTGTTGTTGGGGCAGGGTCTCCAATCTTCGACCCACACCCAGGAGCAGAGGGAGAACCACAACTTTCAGTCGTATGCCCAGCAGCGATTCCTTTCCGCTGCCCACAACGACTATTGCCTACGCCCTGTAGATCTCGGCAGGATCCGGTGCAGTTACAGTCACTGGATCTAGCATGTGGAGCGCTTGGACCCACACTGCTGGAGGAAGCGGCATCTACGCCTGGATGTCCTGCCTTTTTGTTAGCAGTAGGTCTGCTCGACACTCTCTTCGAACACTTTGCCCAGACAGCCCACCGGCCAGTTCTTGAATTGCAATCTCGCATTCCTATTTCCACCTATCAGCAACAGGTTGCGGAGCTCCGGACAATTGTCCCCACCATTGTTGATATTTCCGCGCAGCTGCAAGGCTTCAGTCTAGATTGGCTAGACAACGATCTTGGCCCACTGGTGCGAGATCCTGCCACTCCTGTGCAGTGGAAGGCAGCCTTTGCCAATTTTAGAACCACCCACATGCTTGCAGCAGATGAGGTGCCACACCGCATTATCATCTACACAGATGGCTCCGCCTCGCAGCAGACTGATGCAGCTCTCGGACCTGCTGCCTGGGCTTTTTGTGCATGGCTTCAGACTGCCACAGGTCTGAGCCTCATAGGCTACAGTGCTCACTCTAGTGTCCCGCCAGATACGCCATATTGGCTTCATGAATCACAGGACGATTCTTGGACGGCAGAAGTACTCGCTCTGGCTTGGGCCCTTGTGTGGTCTGTCGAATTTGGGGCAGGCTATAGAGTACCCATAGAATTTCGATATGATGCCACTGCACCAGGGTGTGGCACATTCGCAGCTATGGCACACAAGGTTGAAGATGCCCAAAGTCACACTCCACTAGCGGTCTTCACCAACGTCCTCCGACAGACCCTTGAAGTGCGTACGCCAGTCTCGCACCAACACGTCAAAGGACACAGCGGAGATCTGGGCAACGAAATTTGCGATCTCCTTGCCAAAAGAGCTCGCAAATCACCAGAGGACTTCTATGACAGATGCCTTCCGCTTTGGCCGGGGAAATGGATACAACACCCGTTAGCCAGTTGGGGGTGGACCATAGGCTATAGCGGGGTTGACATTCCAGATCTTGCCAATTTCCAGATCGAAGCACACCGACTTCAGACCACTCCCGTTTGCCCTAAGCCTCCCTCCTTAGGAGTGATTGAGCGCAAGTACAGAGAGGCAGAGGCCGTCTATGAAATCCATGTAGCTTCGTACAACGTGCTTACGCTCTTCGATCCATGCGTCCCCCATGGACGCGCAAAACGTCTCGACAACGTCGGGCTCATGACAGCCGGCAAAAGAGACCTTTTGAAGCGGCAGTTCAAAGCTCGCGGCTTGTGGCTCATTGGACTGCAAGAAACTAGGTTGCCAGAATCGGCTGTTCTTCCCGACAGTGACTATATAATGCTCAACTCGCAAGCTACCACAGGTGGTCACGGAGGTTGTGCGCTTTGGATCTCCAAACAGCACATTTATGCAAGAGATGCGTCTCATAACCATCGTGTACTTGCAAATCAGCTCACGGTGGTGTCGAGTTCACCCAGACACCTCCAAGTGCACATTGAAACGCCTCGCCTCAAACTTGCCGTTCTTGTTGCACATGGCCCTAGGGCAGCCACCAACAACGATGCGACTGTCAGCAGCTTCTGGACAGAGCGTGCACAGGCCCTCTGCGGTCGTCCACATGGCATGGAGTGTGTTGTTCTTACGGATGCAAATAGTCACGTCGGATCACTCGCCACCACATTCATTGGCGGACATGGAGCAGAGGAGGAGAACTTCGAGGGTTCCTGTTTCCATGATTTTCTGACAGCAGTTGGGTGTTTCCTCCCAGCCACTTTTGATCATTTTCATAGTGGCCCGCATCACACCTGGAAGGGGCCAGGCGACAACCCGGTTTCGCATCGCTTGGATTTTGTAGCTTTCCCAATTGAATGGTTCTCCTTCGACATCCGCACGGTTGTATGGGAAGGCTTTGAAGCACTCCAAGCTCGACAAGATCATGTTCCGACACTTGCCCTTGTTCGTTTTAGTAAACTGCAGGCTGCCAGCAGCTACCAGATGTCTCGACGCAAGCCTTGCAGACCTAAAGTAGACCCCACCCCACAGCAAAGTGCACTTTTCCAGAACGCACTGTGCCAAGCCTCGACCGCCCCGTGGCACCTTGATGTCGACACCCACTATGATCAATGGGTGAGTACACTTCTTGCTGCTGCACAGCCCCTATGTGAGGAGAAGCAGCCAACGACAACACAAGAGTATCTCACCCAGCCCACTCTTACCCTAGTACATCGTCGTGCTGCCATTCGGAGGTACATTTGGCAAGAAAATCATGAAATCCAACGACGACGTCTCATTGTGGGATTCACAGCATTGCTGTTGAATCGATCCGGTGGGGCCTTCACCCAGCGTGCTCAACAAAGTGCGGAAACCTGGTGGCGCCAACTTGACATCAGCCTAGCGCATGCTTTGGCGCAGCTCTATGAGACTACGACGGCCATCCGAGCAGCCGTCAAACGCGATCGCGCAGCCTTTCTAGCTACGCTGGTTGAACAAATCTCCTTCCAAGACATGCGTTCACCCAAGGCCTTGTACCAAGCCGTGCGCAGGGCGTTTCCCACTGCCAAATCAGCTAGAAGAGTGGCATTTCAACCGCTACCAGCAGTCCGTCTCGAGGATGGTACTCTTGCACAGACCGTTGAGCAGCGCCAAGCGCGCTGGATTGAATACTTCAGCCAGCAAGAGGCTGGGGTTCATGTCACAGCCCAAGACTACCAGCTTGCCTTTGCAGCCCCAGAGGTTGAGATTCTGCCAGCCGGCCCTGTCTTCTCAATTGAAGCAGTACCGACGTTGCACGACATTGAGCAACAGCTCCTCCGCTCCAAACTTCGGAAAGCATGTGGCCCGGATCAAATTACCTCAGAGATCCTACGCCTGTCAGTGCCACATGTTTCCAAGTTACTCCTGCCAGTATGTCTAAAGACGAGTTTAGGAGTTCGTGAGCCATCAGAATGGAGAGGAGGTTGCCTCCTCTGCCTGGCCAAGCGTGCGCAGACGGCACTCGAATGCAAAGCATTCCGCTCAATCCTCATGGCTAGTGTTGTCGGCAAAGCACATCATCGCATCCTTCGCTCAAAACTTACCCCCACATTTGCAGTATACAAAACCTCACTCCAAGCTGGGCAGATGAAGGGCAGTGGAGTAGAGGGTATTGCGCACCTTGCCCGCACTTTTCAGCTCATTGCCCATCACCGTCGCGAGTTTTGTGCGATCACTTTTTATGATGTCAAATCTGCCTTCTATCAAGTCATCAGACAAACCCTACTTCCCTCACGCAATGGTCTCGACGACACAGGTTTCCTCCGTCTCCTACACGGCATTGGCATTCCGGATTCAGCCATCCCGGAGCTGGCACAGCACCTTCGGAATATGGCTACTCTCAGTGCTGCTGGTACGGATGATCACCTTGTTAGTCAAGTAGCCGACCTCTTCCGAGGCAGTTGGTTTAGACTCGATAATGCTGGGCCCCTGGTCTTGACCCGTAAGGGTACAAGACCAGGGGACCCGATGGCAGACATTCTATTCGGGTTCACCTTTTCGGCCTATCTTCATAGTATCGAGCTTGCTTTGACCCGAGCATCTCTCAATACTCCTGTGCCCACTTTCGTTGAGCCATCTATCTGGCACGATTGGCCGACCATTCAGGATGTAGGCTGCCTTGCATGGGCTGACGATTATGCCCATATGCAAACTGCCTCCACGCAGCCCGTTCTTTTGCAAAAGGTCACCCAAGCCACTTCCTTGCTGGTGACACATGCCTCCGCAAATGGCATGCAGCTTTCTTTTGCAGCCGACAAGACAGCTGTGCTCCTTTGTACCTTGTGCTCCCGAGCGTTGCACCCCCCGGTGGTCAGCAACGAACAAGGTGCACCCGGTCTGCTTGTGCATGACAGCATCACAGGCACAGATTCTTTTCTGCAAATTGTTGACTCCTACCGTCATCTTGGCACCATCGCGGTTGCCAATGCCACGCCAGGACCAGAGATAGCCTTCAGAGCCTCTCAGGCTACTGCCACCGTTAAGCCTCTGCGGCGACGACTCTTTTCATCTCCAGATGTACCCCTGAGTACCCGCCGTATGCTCCTGCGTGCACTAGTTGTGTCCAAGTTCGTTTTCTCCAGCTGCGCCATCACCCTGCAGGCCGGTGTCCATCGGCGGACATGGTGCAAGCACTACATTGCTTTGTGGCGTAATCTCTGCAGATGGAAACAGGTCGAAGCTCAGCCTCACGCGTTTCAGGTTCTGCTTACAGCTTCTGCCACTTCGCCTCTCTTGGCGGTTGCACTGGCACGCGCCACTTACCTGCGAAGGCTGTTAAAGTGGGGTCCTCCCGAGCTTCTACACCTTCTACAGGCCCATTGGCGCCTCAGCCCTTCCTCCTCTTGGTTGGGACAATTTGAGTTCGACATTCGCGCAGTCGGGGTCACGCTCCCCGATGAACTTGCTGTTCTCCGCGGCGGCTCTTCTGTCGAGCGTCTACTAGAAGCAGTGCAGGAGGATCCGCATTGGTGGCCGCGCATGATTCAACGTGCCACCAAGAAATACGCAGAGGAGCTGCAGGTATGGCACCAGCGCAGAGGTGCGTCGACCTTCGCTCCGCAGCCAAATGCTCCCCCTGGTGATTCTCGGCCTTTTGTCTGCAAGGACTGCGGTGCGGCCTTCAAGCTGCGCAAGCACTTGGGTGTTCATTGCGCACGTGCTCACGGGCAACTTAGCCCGGCCAGACATTACGCAGTGCTGCCTTTTTGCCTTGCATGCCACAAGTGGTTCCACGATATCGGCCGCGTCCAGTACCACCTCAAACAAAACCATCGATGTATGACTCGACTTCTGCATACCATTCCTCCCCTGACCACCGCACAGGTCTATGAGGTTGAGGCAGACAATACTCGGAGACTGCGCAAACTCCGACAGGGAGCTTGGAAGTCATATACCGCAGCAGAGCCGACACTGCAGGTTTTCTTTCCTCGCCTCCCCACTTACACGGAATCCCAACCTGAGGACTCCGACACTCTTGATACTCTCCGACCACGCTACCGGCCATCGCCCTCCACGGTTCACTGGCTCATGAACTGGCTGCAAGAAGCTTCGGTAGAGGGTCCTCGGTCAGAGATTCAAGAGTTCTGGCTCCAGAGCCCGACCACTGTCTCTTCGTCAAGACAGTAACGAGTGCCGGAGCCCACCTGTCTCACCTTTGTACAGTTGCCATTTTTGGGACGCGCCCAATATGGGCTCTACAGTCCAATCAGGAAACAGGAAACAGGAAACATATTCCTTATTATGGGTCACGCAGGATTTATATCATCGGCCGTAGGGCTCCTGATTTTATGTTACTTGAGTTCCTTACTTAGAGTTGCAGCATATTACTTGCCACAGAGCCATCTTTGAACCATAAGGCCCCTCTTGGAGGGTCGGGGGACTTAGTAACTGGTTATTTTGAGGACTTATAAGTACCATAACCCTAATTAGGGTCCCTTTTAGGGTACTTATAAGTCTACTTACTACCTACTTACTAAGTACACCCTAAACCCTATAGTACCCTTATAGAGCCCTTTAAAGGAACCCTTAGAACCCCCTTTAAAGGAGCCCCCCACTTACTAAGTCCCCCGACCCTCCAAGCTCTCATTCTGAGGCTCCAAGGCTCCAAGGACCCACCATGCACTCACATAGTAGATAGGTTTCTTTAAGGGCTCCTTTAAAAGGTTTCTTTCAGGGTTCCTTTAAGGGTTCCTTTAAGGCTTCCTTGAAGGGTTTAGGGTTTAGGGTTTAGGGTTGATGGTATAAATCCTGCATTACCCATGATAAGGAGTATACCATATTCCCATAGTTTGAGGTCCTTAAGGTAATGCAGGATTTATATCATCAACCGTACGGGCTGAAAGGGTTGAGGGTTGCAAGGGTTTAGGGGAGAAACGTACTGCGCAGGTACATGGAGCCTTAAACCCCAGAAGGGAAATTTTCAATGAACCCTAAACCCTAAACCCTTAAAGGAGCCCTTAAAGGAACCCTTAAAGGAACCCTTAAAGGAACCCTGAAAGAAACCTTTTGAAGGAGCCCTTAAAGAAACCCTCAAAGGAATCCCTTAAAGGAGCCCTTGGAGCCGAACGGCTTAGGATTTAGGGTTTAGGATTTACGGCCTAGGGTTTCTTTAGGGTTTAGGATTTAGGGTTTAGGATTTAGGGTTTAGGATTTGGGGTTTAGGATTTGGGGTTTAGGGTTTAGGATTTGGGGTTTAGGGTTTGGGGTTTAGGGTTTAGGGTTTGGGGTTTAGGGTTTAGGATTTGGGGTTTAGGGTTTAGGATTTCGAGTTTCAAGATCTGGCTGGGACTTCTTGATTCTGTGGCTCAGGGGGCGGAGGTCTGGAGGGTTTTAGGGATTTTAGGGTTTATTGGTTTCGGGGGTGTAAGGGCTTTAGGGTTGAGAGTCTAGGTTATAGGTTTTGAGGCGTACCATACTTTAGGTTTTAGGGTTTAGGGTTAGGTTTGTGATGGTCAAGATTTCGGTTTTCGGGCGTTGTACGGAAGGGTTTGCAATCCGGTTTTCCTGGCGGGGAAGTATCTTAGTAAGCCAGGGTCTAGATATTCTGTTACCTTTTTTTGAAGATGAACGTTTGTGCTATTCGTGCTGATCGTTTACTTCATAGCAGCCAGGGCCATCGGAATTGCCCGAAGCCGCATGCGGATTTAGGGCATTAGGTTCCAAAGCTCGGCGTACCGTAGATGCAATGTGCAGGAGCGATGCGTGTCATTAGTTGTTCAGGCTCGTATCCCAAAGCCGATGTCCGTGGCGTAGGGTTCTGTAGCTTCGCTGGCAGAAGGTTTGGGTCCTCTATGCAGATGCCGGGGAGCATCCACGCAGATTGTAGAACCATCGGTTTGGCACCCTGTACTACTGAAGTTGCTTATGGGAGGCTGTCGAAGCAATCTATTTTCCAGATCCTCTGAGGTACTTGTCGGAAGCCATTGAGGGGATTTACGTGCTGTCTAGATCCATTCAGGGGTCAGATTGGTGTGTAAACCTGCCTCCAGATACTTCCATGACCCTGATCCGTTGAGCACTCCTCCCGATCCCCGAAGCCTAAGCCGGAAGTCTCAAAGTCTAATTCCCCAAACCTTAAACCCCAAACCCTAGACCCTTGATGCCAAACCTTCGAACCTGGCCGTTTTGATGCCTTTTGCCGAACCCAAACCCTAAACACCAAACCCTGAGCCCTTAAACCTGATTATGAGCCTTTAAAGAGATCCATAAACGAATCCTAAAAGTCGAGGAGCCTATTGAAGGAATCCTTAAAAAGGAGGGTTTAAGGTTTAGGGTTCAGGGTTCAGGGTTTAGGGGTTTAGGGTATAGGGTTTAGGGTCTAGGATTAAGAAATCCTTAAAGGAAGCCAGCATATAGGAGTCCCTGAAGCTACAGTTCAGAAGACTTCAAAGTAAACCGTGAAAGCAAGCCTAAACCCCCAATCCTCAACCCTAAGCTCGGTACCATGGGGGCCTGCATAATTACCAACAAAATTTTGGGGGGTTCCTTATTAAAACTACAGTAGAATGGGCGCCAAAACCCTATTCTAATTATTAAGGCCCCTATAGTACCGCTTCCTGTTGGAGGAAGCCGTCCATCTGGCTGCCGTAGAGAAGGCGGGCCACAGGTAAAGGGCGCTTAGTGGCGCTTAGTGCTCCTTTTTAAGGGCTATAGTTCAAGCCAGAAAGTTGGAACATCATCATCCTCATTCCCTTAAGATAAAGTATAAGGGATCCTAGCACTAGTCCTCCTAAAGCCACGTTCCAACTTTCCGGCTTCAGCTGTAAGCGTTTAGGGCTTTGAGGCTCCCTTAAGGGCTCGTGGCAGGGGTTCTTGTTCGGGGGTTGTATGGAGGGCTGGGGGTCTTCTATCGGGCGTCTTGAAACGCCTTTTGAGCCTTGAACCTGGACCCCGGGACCCTTGCGGCTTAAATCCTAAACCTGTACTACCTAAAGCCTTAAACCACTAAACCCGAAACCCTAAACCTCGACCCTTAAGCCTAAACCCTAAACCCTGAACCCAAGACAAGTGCAAGGAGGCCAACTCACGGCCGACGACGCCCACAAGGATGTCGTCAGTCGCCGGCCGCGTCCTGGCTCATGGTTTTAGGGTTTAGGGTTTGGAGAGTTTAGGGTTTGTGGGTTTTAGGGCCGGGGGGTTGAGGGTTTATAGGGTTTGGGGTGCAGGGTTTCGGCCGTTTAGGGTTTAGGGTTTGTCGGGTTTATGGCGTGGGGGTTGAGGATTCGGGCCGTTTCGGGTGTCGGGTTTGGGCCGTTTAGGGGTTTAGGGTTTAGGGTTGCAGGGTGATTGTTTCTTCAGCGTTTCCATAAGAGTACTATAAGGGTTATTATTCAGGCCGTTCTCTAAATCAGGGTCCACTTGTGGGTCCTTATTAGACCCTAAAGGGGACCCTAATTTAGAGAACTATCCTAGGGGCATCTGTGCGGGTTCCTTAGGGCAGATGGGTTTAGAAGATAGGGTTGATGATATATATCCTGCATTACTTTAAGGCCCGTAAACTATGGGAATCATGGCACATTCCCTATTATATATGGGTAATGCAGGATTTATATCCCTAAACCCTAAACCCCCTGCACATCCCTTAAAGGGGCCCCTTAAAGGTACCCCCTATAGATCCCTTTAAAGGAACCCAACAGTCGGGTTTACGGTTCGAGAGATCGTTGAGTCCTTCTACGGCCCTGGGATGCACCTGCTGACGAGGATATGGTTCAGGATTTAGGGCGTGGGGTCTACGGAAGAATTAGGATCAGAACAATAAAATACCCTCAGAGCGGAATATACCTTAGATGTATCCTCGATTTTTCGTAAGATGGCTGGCGGGGGCGTGGCCAAGAACAGAAGGCGTAAAGCGCTGGCTCACCAGCTTGACGACCGGTTGATCAACCCAGAGATCCCAATACCCCTGAAGTCAGGAATATACTTTAAACCAAAGTATTCAGGCCTCTATAATATTGGGTATATTCCCTAATTAAGGGATTTTGGGATCTTTGAAAACAAGTTCGAGACTGAAGGAGCGGCAGAGGAGTTGGCCTACGTCCACGCACGGAAGCTGGAGGCATCCTCCTCCCAGACCTTCCAAAATCCCTTAATTGAGGAATATACCCGTAAGGGTGCTATAAGGGCTCTATAAGGGAATTAAGGAATATACCTTAAATCTTATGAGGGATCCTTCTACAATTTAAGGTATATTCCTGAATTAAGGGATTTTGGAAGGTCTGGGCTCTTCCTTTGACTTCAGCCAGTCGGTGCCACTCATCGAAGAGGCTGAGCCTGACGCTGCGCTTGATGCACCGGCCGTGGAGACATCTGAACCCACTGCTCCGAGATCGTGCTCTCCAGTCTGCAACTTGACATCCCACATGGGTGGTTGTCAAAATTATGGTCCCTTTTCGGGTCCTTATTATATTACGGCACCTATTATTGAGGGTACATAATTTTGACAACCACCTACATAAAGGAGCCACCGATTCCTTGACCCAAGGCAGGCGGAGTAAGAACACCGGTGCCTCCATCCCCTTGGCCTCGGTACGCTGGTGTGAGAATTTTTTTCTGGTGTAAAGAGTTCTTCCCTCAAGTTGCTTAGCGGCTTTGAAGCGGCTAGAGATCTTCCGGAACAGCATTCTGAGTGAGGGCTTAGGGTTCGGGGTTCAGCGATTTGGTGGGTTTCAGAGGGGTTTTGCTAGCATGTTCGGAGCTTTATAGAGTTTCTAGGATTCAGGGTTTATCGCTGCGGGTTTCGGGGAAAATAGCTTCGGGTAAGAACTCCCGGCTTCTTAATGAATAGGTTACTTGGAGGGTCGGGGGACTTAGTAACTGGTTATTTTGAGGACTTCTAAGTACCATAACCCCAATTAGGGTCCCTTTTAGGGTACTTACAAGTCTACTTCCTACCTACTTACTAAGTCCCCCGACCCTCCAAGTATCCTTCGTAAAGGTGGTTGGCTGTTTGTCAGGGATCTGCTTCATGGACCACGCCTTTGTTTAGCTCTTCTTCCTTGGTTTCTATAGTGAATCCCAGAAAGTTGGCACATGGGTTTAGGATGATTAGTGCTGGGATCCCCTGTACTTTACCTGAAGGGCAGGAAGAGAATGATGTTCCAACTTTCTGGCTTTCACTGTAGTAGAGG